ATCAATATCCGGTTGTAACTCACAACTCATTAGTACACGAGACCTCTCACTCTCGAGGAGTCGCTAATATCGTTGATCAATTGAAGTTTATCAGTCTCGTGTCATCAACTAGTCACGTCAACTCATCACTATTAATTAAACTCTTTCTCTCTCCCACAAGTGTTGAAGCTTTATCTCTTTCTTTATTTCTCTGTCTCTCGTCTTATCAATCAGTCACCATCACTTATCAGTGTATGAATTATTACATTATGTCTTCACTGCACCTTGTTAATATAACTGTGGCTGTTAGATCATCATTTAAAATCCTACTTCCTTGGACTATTCTTCATGTACCAAAAGAAGAAGACACTATTAGTGATTTCTTTTCCAACTCTGTAAGAGCTCGTCTCACTGATGTCCAATATGAACTTGACTCAGCATTTATTGGTCGTGATAAAGAAATGCTTGACAATGTAGATATTAACCTGCCAGTTGTAGCAGTTATTACTTCATTTGGACACTATATTAAATATATTGTCACTTGTGCTGCCACTTCTACTGGTTTAAATAGTGAAGAATGCATTCCAAATGAAGATGCAGGTCTTCTATCTGTGTGTATTGTGCTGTGGATCAACCCTTCACAGATGAAAAAAATACCCGCAATGTATGTAAAAGAAGCCATCTATTACAAAAAGCATTTGCTATGATTGCAATGGTTTTGTGGTTAATAACAATGAATAATGTTAATAATGAATATTTTATCTTATAATTAAAATTGCGCCCGCCCGCGTCAGTGCCGCGTGTGCAAGGGGAAACTATAAATTTAATTGGAGTGGCCTAACGGACACTGGAATACAATTTGTGATAATGCTGATGATGATAATGATGCTACTTATGGTTATATTCCTGATGTGGTCTGTCATCAGTTAGGCTATACTGGTGGTGAATCTAGTGACTTTAACTATGGGTCAGTTGACTCTATATGTTGCCACTTGCCAATGATAATAGTATTCTTAGATATGATGAACTTAAGGTTGGATTTTATGATATGTCCTGCAAGAAGAATTATTTAGTCATACTGCAGTGTAGCTATAAAACTGGTGCTTTGCCTTCTAATTGTAATAGTGATAGTACTATTAAAATAAAATGTTGTAAGTCTCTTTATTTATGTTGATGTAATGCTTTCTGCAAGATCTTACTAGAATATGGGACAGAGCACCATATTCTGGCATGGTACGTCTAGTGAACAGTAGTTATACAGGTCAAGGTATAGTTGAAGTCTATTGTCATGGAAAGTGGGGAGTGGTTTGCAATAAAGCTAGATCTAGCTCTGAAAGTTTTGCTCGAACTGCTTGTAACCAGCTCGGGTATAATTCACTTGTTGATCGCGACTATAGTACACAATTGTAAGTTAACAATTTAGTTATTATTAGCATTAATTTTAATTCACTTGATCATATAGCTCAAACGCGTTTTTTGCATCAATAAAAGAAACTGATGGTTGTGGTGATAATGATGGTGATTTCAAGAAATGCATAAAAGATTGTGCAAGTTGTGATGATAATATTGACTCATGTGACAATGGTATTTTAAATGTGACTTGCAGTGAGTTTACTAGCAGAATAATAAAATAAAATTTTTAATGATTATAATTATACAGAGTATGACAAAGGTACTGCTGCAAATCATGGTAACAAAATGGGTGCCTGTTCCCCTATAAGTAAGTACTTCATACTGACTTGCTGTTTTGCATTATTTGTTAATAGATTTATATCCTGGGAAACTTGCAGTGACTGCATTGGTTTTGATCCTGTTCCTTTATCTTTACTTTATCACTCGTTTCTGCATTAGAATTATTACCATTTGGTGTAGGAGGAGAAGAGGGCAACGGCAACCACTTCTTGAAGTAAATGATAATAATGAAGACAACAATAACAATAATAAGTGTAGGGTTTGTTGTAGTGTTATTTGTGATATTTTCTGCTGTAACTAAACAACTACTGAATAAGTAGAAGTGCAGCAGACTTTTTGTATTTTTTGTACGATGTAATTATGTTGCATCTATTCTGGGATCATTTTATTATTCATTTTGACTCCTCTCTGCACTACTCTTTTCATTTCAAATGCCCATGTGATAAATGTTATACTAACTTAGCTCTTTAATATTATTATTTTCTTTACTCTTTATCTCTGGTCTTCCGCTATGCGGTTATACCTTCAATTTAGCTATTTTTCTACTCTCTTTCTTTGTCTTTTTACTCTGTCAATAGTTGTGAAGTTTAAATAAATAAATAAATTTAAAATCCAGAAGATCAAGACGTGGTTAAAAGAGGTGTGTCGAGTGGGTGTGGTTATACCTAGAGAGCTAGCCATGTTGAGAAGACACAAGCTCATTGTTCAAGGAGAAGTAACTGCAGTACTGTCAGCTCTGAGGGGAGGAGGAGGAGGGGGAGGGAGATGGATAGGAATGGGTAGATCAAACTCGGTAACTCTTTATAAATAAAGTGATATGGTTCCATTGTCTATTAATAGGAGGAGATACAGGATCCATTGATACATGACCTATGTCTATTGCAAGACAATCTACTGCATACACAAGGTATTACTTAACCTTTTTATTCTTTATTATAATGTACAGCTGTTACTTAAATATTTTCCCTGCCATCCTCTTAATTTTAAATTCATTTAGCGCAACAAAAATTAATCGTTACATGATGTAATCTTTCGTGTTTTCTCTTTTATTACAGAGATAGGTGTGTTAGATATAGTACGTCCATTTTGTTCGGTGGTCATCAATGAAGAGACAACTGGCCCAATCACTGGCCTGGCTATAGGGGCACTGGATAAGTTCCTTGCCTCAGGATTATTAGGTAACTAGTAGCGGCACAGGGTTTTTAAAGACTGGGTATTTTAGAAGTGATATTCTAATATCATTATTCTGAATCAGCCCTTGTGTTGGTATTACTATTAAGTACACTTGATGCAATGGGGTACATGTAGAAAGGTGTTTGGAGTAATGTAGCATCATTATCAGCTTAGCAAGGCTCTTACTGGTTCCTATTATTTACAGCTCTTTTATTCTTTTATATTTCTTTTATTTCATGTACATGTAGATCCATCTTATGATAAAGCAGCTCATGGTATCTGTGAAGTGGCTGAGGCTGTCACTCACGCTAGGTTCGTAGGTACTAGCACTGCCAGCGATGAAGTCGTACTCATGAAAATACTCAAAGTAACTGATAAAGAGAGAAGGAGAGAGAGAGTGATGTTAGGGAAAGAGAAAGAGCAGATATTGTTTGTTTATTTGAGTTGTGTCTGTTTGTAATTTATTTCTTATTATTATTAAATTATTATTATTATAACAAAAACAAGTAATTTATTATTATTATTATTATTATTATTATTGATTTAGATATTAAATACATTGCTCTCAGTACCAGGTGGCAGATTATTAACGAATGAGAGCGTCTGTGAGATAATGCAGTCTTGCTTTAGGATCTGTTTTGAAGGACGGCTATCAGGTACATACGCCCACACAATAAAGTGACACGCCTACCCTACAATGCAATACAGGTTTCATAGTTCGGTACCATAAAGGTACCGTTAAATACGATAGAGGTACCATCCATTGCGATACAAGTACCTCACTAAACACTATTACAGGTACCTCACATACAATACACGCAGTACTCTTACTGTGTGTATGGAATACATTAGCAGCTGGTGATTTGGATGGCGAGAATTATACTTACTTTTTAGTGATTTTATGGCCAGCCAATTTTTTTGTCTTGTGCCAATGAACATGTGCATTATGGCTCAAAGTGGCTGGTTTTATTTTAGCTTATGTTCTCAAAAATTGCCAGCTGTGAAATAGCAGACCTGTGACTGTGGCAGGTCTGCTGTCACAAGTAGCAGACCTAGCGGCTCCTTTGATCTACTTCACTAGTATACTTTATTATAAGATTGGCAGGTATACATGTACAGTAGACATGTTGCCAGTAGCAACTGACACCTTGGATAACATGGTTTCAACTTTTATTTTTAACCCTTTAGAGCTGTTGCGTTGTTTTGCTGAGAATATACTAACTGAAATGGTCCGTCTCTTATTTAGTAATCTCTCACTCGTTGAGGACACACCCACTGACAATGAAATGAAGGTATCTTCATAGACAGTACATGTACATGCATGCTCCCATTATGGCTAAATATAGCAGCTGCTTATTTATTGGACTCTCCCTCTTTCCTTTCATCAATTCCATATCTTTAATAAGCTGTCCAGTGTTTATTTAATCAATGGCTTATTGATTATATTATGGAAATATTCTGTTGTCATTGTCATGATGGCATTTCAGTTATACGTACATGTACATGTACATCCTCACTAAATGTAATACTTACAGTATTGGTATACTATTGTATGTACATTAGGTGGTGGCCTATAGTAGTGGCCCTGTATTGGACTCTACTAGTTACAATGCTAAGGAAGAGAAGGCGGGCCAGCAGCAGCTGCAATCAGAGCAGTCAGTAGTAGTACAGGAGACTGACTCCATTAATGGGGTAGCAGAAGGGGAGGAGGCTAAGAGAGAGGGAGAGGATGAAGGAGAGAGGAATGGTCTGTCTGATGAAGAGGGTAAGACAGGAGGAGGAGGAGGAGGGAGGGAGAGGGAGGATGTCTCTTCATTGTCAAGTGAATCACCTGATACTTCATTAACAAAGTAAGGGAGCAGCTGTCTTTCATCTTTAATTTAATCCACACATACATGTATGTATGATGTATATTCATAATATTTCTTCTTCTCTCTCTTACAATAGTTCTCCAAATGGTGATAGTCCTACTGCTCCTACTGGCAGTACATTCACGACAGCAAGAGGTGTCCATTTTGCTGGTCCAGTAGGAGGAGGGGGAGGAGATGAGAGAGAGAAGTCTCCTCACAGTATGCCTTGTGTTAGAGAAGTCCTGAGGTTTCTCATTTCCATTATTAATCCTAAAGACAGGTGAGTCTGTTACTGTATGTACTACATGTACAGTATATAGTCCTTTAATTCCTATAATCATTATGATTCTTGAGTTATGAGCACCTGGAAAAATGCACCAATTTCTATAAAGCATTACTTGTGCTTTTTCGAAAGTTTTGACAGCTGGAATGAAACACTATTGATGTATTTGAACCTGTGTCCATCAATCTCTTTTATTTAATCATATAACCTCCTCTCTCCCTCCCCCCTCTCTCTCTCTCTCTCTCCCTTTCCTCCATAAGGAATGACACTCGTGTGATATGCATTGGATTGGATTTGGTGACAGTTATGCTGGAGTGTGGAGGGAAGAGTCTTGGGGACATTAAATCGCTGAGGGTTCTCATGCAAGACGGACTCTGCCATCATTTACTTACTGTAAATGAGCAACTTTACGAAATACATATTTTATTTTATTTTGTGTTACATTTTTTGTTTTATTAGTTGCTAAAGCACGAATCCGTTGATGTTTTCGGTCGCTCTCTGAGGAACTGTTTTCTTCTTTTTGATTCAAATCGCCATCATCTTAAACTACAACTGGAGGTAAAGAAAGGCATATACAGGTCATTAAATGCTTCTCTCTCCCTCTCCCTCTCTCTCTCAGTGGTTCCTTAATAAGCTAATGCAAACGATACAGTTGGATCAGTCAAGACTACAGGCAGGCAGACAAGAGCTAACACTAGAGTGCCTCATACAAGTGAGAGAGACTACATTTTTGTTGTACATGAGATTGTGACATTTTAATATATTTTTATGTCTCTCTTATTTTCTTTAGTTTTGTCACATCCGTAATTTCGTATCAGAGCTATACGTTAACTATGACTGCAGTACTTACTGCACTAATGTGTGCGAGAGATTGAGCAAACTACTTGCCAAGGTATCACAACCATCAGCTGATACAGCTACCCTGCGTACTGTAGTACAGGGTATTTTACCAAAAATGAAAAGTGGAGAATTCTTCATTTTTATAATTTTTTCTGATACATATACATGTTCTTATGTTGTGTAGAAAGTTTGAACTGATTCCGATCAAAATTGAATTTTTTACGAATTTTTTAAGTTGCTCCAAAATCGGACCAAAGTCCCTGTACTATAGTACAGGGATTTTGGCCAAATTTCATCAAAAATGAAAAGTGGAGAATTCTTCATTTTTATAATTTTTTCTGATACATATACATGTTCTTATGTTGTGTAGAAAGTTTGAACCGATTCCGATCAAAATTGAATTTTTTACGAATTTTTAAAGTTGCTCCAAAATCGGACCAAAGTCCTTGTACTGTATTACAGGAACTTTGCTAAAATTTTGTTCAAAAATGAAAATTAGAGAATTCTGAATTTTTATAATTTTTTCTGATGCATATACAATGTATGTGTACATGCACTTACGTTATGTATCAAGTTTGAACTGTACGTTTTATTATGTTTTTTTTCTCTGCACAGCAAGCATTTCCCAGTTCTTATCACACCATATCATCAACCAACATATTAGCACTGGACACACTACTGGCAATGATACTATCACTGGAATCAGCCAGCACCACCACCACTACTGATAATAATAATAACGATACCAATGATCGGGATACTAATAGGGTGGGTGCTAAAAATGGAGGGAAAGTTCCAGCTGATTGTAATGAAGGAGTCAGTGTTAATTCATCCGCCGGGATCATATTCTCCTCCGCTAAGCAGCAGGCACCGGATATCAGTCTGAATGGAGGGGAGGAGGTGGGTGGAGCTATATCAGAACCTAACCTCCTCAAAGAGGAAGAGGAGGAGGAGGAAAGGAAGCACCTTAGCCTTCCCCTCTCTCCCTCCCCAGGGACTCTCTCTGAACTATTGAAAGCACGTCAATTGAAAAAGGTAACAGGTCTTTTGTACTAGTATACATGTATATTATATAAATGTATTTATTATCTTTTAGTTGATCACTGCTGGTACAGAGCAGTTTAATCAGAAACCGTCACGTGGTATATCCTTCTTAATGGAGCAGGGAGTCCTTCAAACTCCTCTTGATCCTGTGGAAGTCGCTACATTTCTTCACGACAACCCCTCTATCAACAAACAAATGTTGGGAGATTACCTTGGGGATAGAAGGAACACAGAGATATTGGTTGCATTTATTAAGTAAGTGCATGTACTTTATTAATTTTATTTCTCTCTCTCTCTCTTTTAGGAGTTTCAAGTTTCATTCTGTCAGCCTTGTTGAGGCTATCAGAGAATTTTTAGAGTCTTTTCGTCTCCCTGGGGAGGCCCCTGTAATTTCTGGAATATTTGAAAAATTCTCTGCCCACTGGCTAGTAATTAGAGATCCATTCATTATAAATATAGCATTATTATTATTATTATTATTATTATTATTATTATTATTTTAATTTTTCATTCTTTATTTTCATAGAGTTGCAATGAAAGTGGTTTGGCGACCATGTTTGCAAACCAAGATTCTATATTTGTCCTTTGCTATGCCATTATGATGCTCAATACTGACCTTCACAACCCAAGACTCAAGCAAAAGATGTCACTAGAGGTACTCGTACATTATTTATAGTCACGCCTACAATAGTCTACATGTTTTTATCTTTTAGGAATTCATAAGGTCTCGTCGAGGTATGAATAATAATAAGGATTTCCCTAGAGAATTATTGACAGAGATATATCATTCAATAAGGTAGGAGGAGACTGCATGAGTCTTTAATATTATTACATTTAATATGTGGGAGGAGACTGGGCATGGCTTAATTAATTATAAACTTTTTACAATAGAACAACTGAGATTATATTACCTTCAGAACATCATGGAGCAGTCAAGGAAGGCTACGAATGGAAGGCAAGATTTAACTATCTTTTTTTTTTTATTCATTTATTTTCTTATTTTATTGATTAATTTATTTTATTTTTATTTTATTTATTTATTTATTATTTATATATTATTTATTTATTTATTTTTATATTTTTTATTTATTTATATTTTTTTATTTTATCTATTTATTTTTTTATTTTTCATTTTATTTTTTTTATTTACTTATATATTTTTTATTTTATTTATCTATTTATATTTTTTATTTATTTATTTATTATATAATTTATTTATAAATTTTTTATTTTTTATTTACATGCATATACACACACCATGTATATACATATATATTATTTATATATATATATATATTTTTTTTTTTTTATATTTATTTATTTATTATTATTATTATTATTATTTTTTTTTTTTTAATAATAATAATAATAATTACTATTTATTTATTTTTATTAGGTTTTATTACGTCATGCTAGTACTAATAAGAGTCTTTATTACGAGGTATCCACTCATGAGTATGATCAAGACGTCTTCCTCTTATTGTGGGGATCAGTAGCAGCTGCTCTATCCTGTGCTCTGGAGAACTGGCCGCCTCATTCAAATCTTTATGATAAAATAACCAACGGATACAAGTTAGTCATGTAGTGATTTAAAATCCGTAAAAAATCTAAATATGGTCAAAATCAGCTCAAACTTTCTACACAATGTAAGAATATGTATATGCATCAGAAAAAATTATAAAAACGAAGAATTCTCTACTTTTTATTTTTGACAAAATTTGGCAAAAATCCCTGTACTATAGTACAGGGATTTTGGTCCGATTTTGGAGCAAGTTTAAAAATTCATAAAAAATCCAATTTTGATTGGAATTAGCTCAAACTTGCTACACAACATAAGTACATGTATATGCATCAGATAAAATTATAAAAACAAAGAATTCTCTACTTTTCATTTTTGACGAAATTTTGGCCAAAATCCCTGTACTATAGTACAGGGACTTGGGCCCCATTTTGGAGCAAGTTTTAAAAATTTGTAAAAAAATCCAATTTTAATCGGAATCAGCTCAAACTTTCTACACAACATAAGAACATGTATATGCATCAGATAAATAGATTTGATGAATTCTGATGTCCATGTCCATCTCTTTCCACAGGCAATGCTCAATTGTGGCTGCCCATTATGAGCAGCATGAGGTCTTTGACAATCTCGTCATATCCCTGAGCAAGTTCTCCTCTCTTCTGAGCCACCACGACCCTCCCCTCTCCCAGTCTGTCACCCTCACCCTCACAACTGACACTAAAGCTCACCTCTCCCTTCAAACCATGCTCTCTCTTGCTCATCGTCACGGGAACCTCCTCAGGGAGGGCTGGAAGAACATTCTAGATTGTCTGATGTGTTTATATAGAGCAAGACTGTTACCAGAGAGTATGGTAACAATACCTGATTTCATTAATCCAGCTGGGTCTGTGTCTTTATATGCTGAGGAGGCCCCTACCGTTAGGTACAATAATTAATATATTATATGGTAGTCAAAATTAAATTATTTTACATGTACATGTACATTATACTTATAGCTTCTCCTTATTATTATTATTAATATACTACTATAGTACATACAATTATTTTCCTTTCTATATTCAGTATCATTGGTATCTCTCCTTAGACATGACTCCAGTATACTGAGCTCATTCTTTTCAGTAAACTACTGGCTACTAGCAGGAGAAGCATCAGTATCAACACAGTCCGCACTGAAGTCACTGTCACCGAGCGAAGTAAAGCAAAGGAACGCTTTAGTGAAATGGATAGATGTAAGTACAAATGTACTGCTATGATAACACTCTTAACAACATTCATATTTATATATTTATTTATTATAAGTAATGAAGTACTATTACGTAATACCCATTCACTCTATAATGTACATCTACATGTAGGACTGTGGGTGTCAGCTGCTTTTCAGTGACAGCAAGTTCCTCAATGAGGAGTCACTGGCTGAATTAATAAAGGTATGTATTACTAGTCACATGATGGTCACATGATGATCACATGATGATGGGATTATAGGCACTGATATTCCAATCACATGGTCCTGATGTTCATAACACTCTTGGGACTGGGTTTGATGAAGAGAGTGCAATCTTCTTTTTAGAATTATTAATGACAGTCACTCTAGCCAACAGGTCAGTTAATAACTTTTAATAACTACTAATAATTATTAATAATTAATTAACTAGGGATAGGGTAAATATATTCCTAGAAGATGTTTTAAATCACTTGACTGCAATATTATTATCAGACCTTCCATGCAGGTAAGCTTATTATTATTATTATCATCATCATTATTATTATTATTATTATATTGTTGTTGTTGTTGTTGTTGTTGTTTTGTAGGAGGTTGAGGGAGAGGATAGGTGTGTCCCTCCTCCAGCTGTCAATAAGGTTGCTACACAAAGAGAACACAAGGCAGAGTGTACTGGCGGCACTACGGTCTTTATTACTATTGAAACCAGCTGCTCTTGTATCTCACAGATCATTTCAAAGACAAATCGGCCGAGGGCTAGGAATATTAATGCGATCACAAGTACACACGGCACAGAATATCATCAATAATTTTATATAAATTATATAATAGGCTAATTATCTTAGCAGTTACATGGATTGGCTAACAGTCTTCTCCTTATTAGAATTCACTGCCACATGCACGAGTACATATTCTAATCTTTCTGCTACTAATCCAACTATCACTGCTGCTACTGAAGAAGGCAATGAAACCACTGTAAGATGATAGCCTTATTACACATATCACTGTTGCATGATGTATATACACATTTCTATTACCATAATATCCTCAAATTGTAATTGGAAAACCTTCTAATAGAAATACTGTGTGGGAATTAAAGATAGGGAATGTACAGTAGAAGCCTGGGACTGTTATTTAAGGACATCTCTTTGTTCTTTATTGTAGGATTATGAGAGTCAACCTGGCGGGGGCGCTAATTCTCCTACAGCTGGTAAAGACTGGGTAGTTATACAGAGACAGCGTAGCTCCACCAGTATCAACATTAACTGCTTTGATCTTTTAGTTGAAGACACCCTACCACCCCAAGTAATGAACCAACTATTAAACTACTTCCATTAGAAGAGACGGTTTACAATTTATGCCTTGGAGGAGAAATATTATAAATTTAATTATTATTTCTAGGATCCTGAGTCATTCTTCATAGCATGTGATGTGCTATCATACATCATTAGGGAAGAACAGCTAGTGAATGCTAATAATTTCACTACTTGTCTAAAGACTGTCAGGTACAATACATGTACATGTACATGTACATGTATATGTACATGTACATGCACTTAAAATACTCATATATACATGTACATGTATATTTACATGTACATGTCTTCATGTGTGTTTCCTTTGTTAGGCTACTATCAGAAGTAACTAGTGTGAAATCTTCCATTAGTCACGACCAGTATCTAACAAGGCAGCAAAGGGCCCCGCCCCCTGATCGCTCGTACGCTCACTGTGCCCTAAGACTACTTGATCTATTGGATACTTTATACCATCGGACGACTAGTGTATTTAATAATGAGGGTATTATCAGTGATACTGGAGCAGGTGTGAGCCATATGTGGAATGTGTGCTGGTGTCCGCTATTAGAAGTAATAATTAATAAATATTATGATGATGGTGACTCCTCCCCTTTAGGGTGTGGCTAGAATGTGTTGTGATCCTCGTAAGAACGTCCGGCAGGCGTCCATTGCTTATCTGCAGAGGGAGCTGCTGGCACAGACTCTTCAGTCACTCACTGCTCTGGACTGGGAGGCTTGCTTCCTTGAGGTAGCTTATCAGTTACTTGTACTTGTACACGTGTACTGCTTTGGGTCTTATATAAAAATTTAACAAATAAAGGCAATTATTATATAATTTTAGGTTTTCTTTCCAATGCTAAGTCGTCTCATAGAGGAAGATGATAGTCATAATCCGGACATTGAGGAAGGTCAAATGAGAGCCTGTAACCTTCTTTGTAAAGTGTTCCTACAGAGACTCCAGCTTATCTCCTCGCTTGATAATTTTACTGATCTCTGGGTTGGTATACTGGACACTATGGATCGTTACATGCACATTGAGGGATCTGAACTATTAGTAAGAGGAAGAGAGAGGGAGGGGGAGGGAGAGATATTCATGCTAAGTAAAAATTTGAGGATAGTTTGTGGGAAGAGAGAGGGGGTGGAGAAGGGGAAAGAGGGAGAGGAGTGGTATGCTAAGTGATTTACTTTTGTTTGCTATAGCCTGAGGCTATACCTGAGTCCCTAAAGAACATGTTGCTAGTGATGGTGACGCAAGGAGTTCTGTATGTGGGAACGTCCCCTCCAACTCAAGAAGAGGTATGATGATGATGATGATAATAATAATAATAATAATAATAATAATAATAATTTAGGAGACTAATAATCAGCTCTGGACTGTCACCTGGAAGAGAGTTGAAAGGTTCTTGCCTCAGTTTCTTTCCGTTTTATTTCCGGAGTCGATACCTACTGTTGTCATACCATCCTCTTCTCCTGTTATAGAACAGCCACGCCCAAAACCAACCAGCCCCACACAGAGTGACGTTTCTCCATCTTCATCTCCTTTATCTCAGAGCCCTAGTTAGTCAAAACACATATTTAAAATATATATACAATGATTATAATATGCAATCCTTTCATTTGTAATTTTGTTAATATTTTCTCTATTTATTGTCTAAACTTATGCCACTATTTTAAACCGTCTAACCACTAAAAGCACTCAGCCATTTTTATTTTATTCTTTTATATACTGCAGGCGATGATGGAAGCAGTTTTCCGATACTAGTGATACACCCTCCACTGCCAACCCCAACACTAGTGCCAACATCCCCTAACCCTCCCTCTCCCCCTCTCCCTCCCTCTTCCTCTCCTCCCAGTATCACACAAGCAGCTGCTATTGTTATTAATAATAATAATAATACTAATAGCACATCTTTAGATTGTCCAAGGTCGGGCAATATAACTCCATCCTCAACGGAATGATTCAAAATAAACTATTGTGTTCATTATTATTATTATTCACTGATTGAATATATTTAGGAGAATTAATTGGTATTAGAATTTAAATCATTAAATGATTGTTATTTAACAAGTTTTTTGCAGACAGTCCTACTGCGCATGCGTCGAGTCATGATACCTCATGAATATTAATGAGCTATAGCCAGATCTCAGAAGTGGAAATTCTTGTGTGATGGCTACGCCTCCTCCTCCTTCAGCAACAAAGCTGGAAAATGATGGTGGGTCTTCTTCCTGTGAGGAATTTGTTCTTATAGAGGCGGATAAGACTAACCAGCAGCCTAACAGAACAAGAGGTAATGTCCTCTGGCATTCGCTGATTTAGATTTTTAAACAAAAGAGTCCCAACTGGCCGTTATTAAAGCCCTAAGAGAACACCTACGTTGTTTCGAGCTATTATACGCGATCCATTAACTTTATAATGTGCATTTAAAGAGTATTTTAACTTGTAGCATCATTCACAGTTTGTTGTATTGGGCTGAAGGTGTCAACAAGGCCTCTTGTTATCATCTTACAAGACATACAAGGGTGTTAACTAAAATAGATGACTCCTAATTGAATTGTGATGTTAAGACTCATTAGCTGTTTATCTTTGGGTGTGTTTAAGATGCACTGTTATATAAATACGTTAACAAAGCTTGCTCTCTAAGTTAGAGATTTTATACGCATATGTGACAAAGAGAGAGATTAAGACAGTTATGTCTTGTGTGATAGGAGGATCCATGGCATCAGCTGAAGCTTTGTTCTCTCGGAATTTAAGCTCATCATCTCCTAAAAAGAGGAAAGACTCGGGATTACCTAACGGACAGGATGATACGAGATCACAGCCTTCTCCAAGCATTGGTAGAGATACAGGAGTAGAGACAACAATGGAGGATGTGAATCAAGTTAGTGTCTCTTTCCTTCTCTTCACTGCTGTATAGCAGCTGCTTTGTTAGTGTGATTGGTTTTTCTCCCTCTCTCTCTCTCCCTCTTTATAATAGTCCCCCTCTTCTTCTGATGTTTGATTTTGTTATGTGGATAATTGTTTGTATTCCCTCCTGAATGTAAATCTGCAGCTGTCAATAATGTACATGTACATATATATATGTGTAATACCAAACCCTTAATGTACTCTTGGTAATACCCTTTATCTTATAAAGGGTTATACTGATTCATTATGTGTTATGATACTGTTGTGTACATCTACTGTCCTATTGTAATGTAGTTTGTCTAGCAATCACTACACTGAAAGCTGTCAATGCCCTTTCATGTACTTTATTATCTTATTAAATTTTGACAGCATCATTAATATATACCCTCCCACACACTATCCCCCCCCTCTCTCCCTTTCTTACTCTCCTCTCTCTCCTTCTCTCTTCCTTTCTCTCTCTCCCTTTCTTTCTCTCCTCTCTCTCTCTTTCCCTCTCCAGGTTGCTTTTACTGGTGAAGATGTAGAATCCATTCCATCTCATTTGTGTGAGAAGTTTGGTCTGACTGCACAGCGACTTGATCTATCATACAATAGACTAAAGTAATTTATGAGATGATAATAATAATGGTCGAATTCATAATCTCCGTGCATGTAGGTTTTTCAAGGATTTTAATATAGTTATCAGCATCTTTTTAGTGGATTTTTATAGTTTACCATTGAAAGGGCTGGCTGGTTGAATCCTACATTTTCAAAAATTAACAATAATAATAATTATTAAAGTTATTATTGGTATAGGACTTCATAATTTTTAATGCAGGGTTTTACCCTTTCCAAAAATTGTCGTATATCAGAATTGACATTAGACCAGAGATTAGTACTACAAAGCCTACCTGAATGCACCTCGAATCCCAGTGTCCTTTTATACGCTATAAATTGTAAAATGCTATAGTGGGTCGGACTGTTGTGGTCAACACTAAAACAACAAAACACATCAAATGTATATACATGTACATGTAACACCTTTATGATAAGGACTCCTTTATAAACAAGGACTCCTTAATGAGGACATTTTGCAAGGCTGAGGTCCCTGTAATATAATAGTACGGGGTCTTTGGCCAAATTTTACCAAAATTGACTAGGAGAGAATTTACCATTTTTATAATTTCTTTTGATGCATATACATGTTCTTATGTTGTGTAGCAAGTTTGAGCTGATTCCGATCAAAATTGGATTTTTTATGAATTTTTAAAGTTTCTCAAAAATTGGATCAAAGTCCCTGTACTATAGTACAGGGATTTTGACCAAATTTCACCAAAATTGACTAGGAGGGAATTTGCCGTTTTTGTAACATTTTCTGATACACATACATGTTCTTATGTTGTGTAGCAAGTTTGAGCTGATTCCAATCAAAATTGGATTTTTGCGAATTTTTAAAGTTGATCCAAAAGCCATATATTGTATTGTAGTGCTTGTCAGCTCATGAAACTCATGCTGTTTAGCTTACTTAGCATGCTTTGTGGGAAACCCTGTGTAGATTTTACATGTTAAAAATGTAAATTTTTAGTTTATAACGTGTTACTCTAACCCTTTCCCTTCTCACTAGATCACTGGACGGATTAGAGAATTTCAAAGTATTAGAAGAGCTTGTGTTGGACAACAATGATTTAACCGATGCTGCTCTGTCACTGCCACACCTACCACGCCTGCATACCCTCACTCTGAACAAGAATCAGATATCCTTACATTGCAATAACAACATTCCAGTCATAACTGTAGCTCAAGTATACATTTGTAGTGGGTTCCTGGAATTAGACATCAATTGCCATTGATTATTAATAATTGCTATTTCCTCTTTTTGGTCTTATTTTGACTGCATATCTGTCCTGCACAACGTTCCATAATTACTGTCAATAATCTGATATATGTACATGATGTGCATAATGTATTTATGACGTCTAGTTCAGTTAGTGTTTATAGTTACATGTATGTAATATAATTATGTGCTACTCTATTTCCGACCTTTGGGTTGGATTGTTATTTCTTAACGTTCCTAATCAACACATCATAGATACTGAGAGCTTACTGTCCACGTTAGAGAAGCAGTGTCCATCTTTGAAGTATCTGAGTCTCCTTGGTAACAGGGCCTGCCCACACGAGATACTACAGTCTGGACATGATGATGAAGACTACCAGCACTATAGGTAAGGATAATAAGGTTTCTTATGTACTATGTATGTGTACATGTATATAGTATGTACAAGAATTGTACATGTACATGTATACATGTGTAATTGTTACTACATGTACAAGTGCATGTATATGTACATGTACATGCACTTGTACATGTACATATACATGTACATGTATATGTACATGTATATGTACATGTATATAGTATGTATTGTACAAGAAGAATTGTATATGTACATGTATAAGAAGAATTGTACAACTTATATGCTAAAAAACATGAGAATCATGTGCATTCTCATTACGATTTGTACAATTCTTCGTATTAATTTGTACATTATGTTCTTTATTATTATCGTTATTTTTACTTGTTATGATTATACTATTATTATTATTATTATTATTATTATTATTATTATTATTATTATTATTATTATTATTATTATTATTATTATTATTATGAGAGAAAAGGGCAACAAAAAGAGAGGAAATGTATAGAAAGGAGGAGAGGGAGAACCCGAAAGAAAGACAAAAATTATTATTATTATTATTATTAGGTATTTTGTTTTACATCGTTTGCCAAAGTTAACTTTCTTGGATTCGAGTTTCGTCACGTCAGAGGAGAGGAAAGAGGCACAGAGAGTCGGAGCCTTCATGAGAGTAGTCAGACCCACAGACTCAATAGTAAGAATATCAATTATATCATTCATTATACATAGTGATACATTTATTATCTTATCTTATATGTCTATGTTAACATTGTTTGTATGAAGGATGGATATCATTATAAATACTGTTTTGTGATGTTTGTTTGTTTGTTTGTAATCATTCACGTTGCATCTTGTAATGGCAAGTGAATTGCGTATCCTGTTTTTGGTGGCTGTTTGCCAAAGTTACAGTTGAATTGTGAAGTACCATCTTGTAATGTTGTGACTATAATACTCCTTTAATTGAACATTAATGTACACGTATATGTGTGTTTGTGTGTGTGTGTGTTTGTACAATTATGATGTTAATGTTCTTGGATGTATTTGTGTGTGTTTTTATGAAGTTGCCTGTGTTGAAATTGTTTAGGAATCTAAGAAGAAGTTAAAGAAATCTTCAGAAGATGTTCCCAGTGGTTTCAATCCTTTACCAGCATCACGAGATGTTGTGGGACAACATAGAGGTACTAGTAAAGTATTGAAAATAATATCAATTATTTATTGTTATTTTTATAATTTATTGCTATTTTTAGAGGTAAATGTAAATATTAAAAAAATTATAAGTTATTTATTGTTATTTTTAATTGTTATTTTTAGGTGTCTATGGACAGTGTAAATACGTATATTATGGGAAGCATTCTGAAGGGAATAGATTTATACGTAATCATCACTTATGATATCTTGTGATTTCTTCTTCCTATGCTTCTTCTTTATCTAACTATTTCTCTCTTCCTTCTCTCGTGTGTCTTAATGATGAGTAATATTACTAGCATAAAAACCTGCAGTTTATTCATCATCGTATTATTATTATTATTACTATTATTATTATTAATTTATTATTAACTGATTATTGTGTATTATTATTTATCGATGTTATAGTATATATGACTCTTTTCATTCCATTCTTATTTTTGTATTGATACATATATTCATATATATGTAGTGTGTATTATATATAATTTAATACTAAGGTATTATTTTCTTTAATATGTTTTATGTACTTTAATTATATCTACATGTACATGTGTAGCATATTTTGTGTATTTAATAAAATGCATTGAAGGACCACCTCAACAACAGAGCTCCACCTTTTAGAATCACTAAACAGTTTATTTTAAAGTGCTGGCCGGTCTACTCTTGGGAGAGATGATTATGGATCCCTCTGCTATTAACCGCCTTACATCATTCTCCGTGATTCTCCTTGGCCTCCTTATTCCGTTCTTGTTGCTTGATTCCACTGTGGGACTCGGTAAGCCTTACCAGCAATGTCGTTCACATTTTATACTTTATATTCCTTTTAGAGGCATGCAGCTCAAAGCGACCTGATTTTACTCTGCAAGCCCCATTTCACAGTGGCTGTACAGGGCTGGAACTGCCTAACTGCATTAGGACTTCAATACAAAGCTGTAGATCTAATGGAAGCTGCCTTGTACAAAAGACATTAAATATAACCCGCATGATGAGTCTACAAGTAGGAAGAAAGTACTTGCTTGAAACATTTGTAGAAAATGTTATTAATCTGACAAAAAGGCCTGAGAATATGAATAAGAATATAAGGACTGGTATCATGAGAGAATACACATACGTTTGTCATAAGGTTTTTAATGAAAGTCTGCAGGATTGTTTTGCCGAATTTATTGCTGTTTGTCTCGATTTACCCAGTCATAGATCTCCATCACCATGTATCAATTTATTGTACAATCACTGCCTAAACCGTACAAAAGATTGCAGGGAAGCAGTCGAAAATGAAATAGAAGAGATAATAGAAGAAGAATGCGATGAAGATTACGATGATTGTGTAAGTCTCTCTGTAGTGTGTCCTAATTTAATTAGATAATATGCCACAGTTGGCATACCAGGAAGAAGGAAAACTGCTACTTTTTCCTTTTTGTAGGAAGAGCTAATTGATGATACATTCAATAATCAGTTTAGATTCAATTCAATGAAAAGGATAGGCACTGCACTTCGGGTCAGCAGTAATTCGAAAACAAAAAATGCAACAAGGCTATTTGAAAAGAGAAGGAAAGTCATCAGAGAGTTGGTTGGAAATATCAATAATGTTTCTAGTATCATGGACCAAGAAGATGTACAAGTATGTAACAATAATATCCTTGATATCAAAAGTGGATAACAATTATCCTGCACTCTTGTTGATATTGAAATGCACTACAGCTACATGCTTTAGTTGAACTTCTATTATCATTATTTAAAGACAGACTTCCTTCTGTTTACTGTTATGCATAACTGACTATAATTAAGTTTAAAATAACAACAGTTTGTAGGAAAGTAGTTTAGTATTGGTTATGCTATTGCAGGAAGTTTGTGATAGCTGTCATCTTATGCTAGTGCTGTGTATTATGTGTTTGCTGTTTGTTCTTTATATTTTGTAGATTCTATATGAAGTGATGGATTCATCTTTCAATATTAGTCATGTCTCATCACTTTCACTTTCACTATCAGTCAGTTGCCATAGTACATGCTGCAGTCATTGCTATTCATTGTATAGGATAAAATTGGTCCCATGCTACTGACAAATCTTAAAGAAATGAACATTGTTTTTGGTAAAGCTATACTCAGTGGTGGAGGAAGAATTAAAAATGACTATAAGTTTAATGGAAATAATTTAGGTATGAAAAAAATTTTATAGCAATTGTATGATTCATTCAGTATTACTTTTAAAGGTGTGTCATTTAAAATCACTGATGACAATGACAATTCCTTTGAACACTCATCAGGTTTAAGCATCATCAATAACTAAATTTGTTTAGTAATCCTTTCTTTATTCTATGATGAAGATGAAGGATTGTCCGTGAAAATAAATTTGCCCAGGACTGCACTGTGTCAATCAATGGGTATGAAAATGAATAAAAGAAATAATAAAAAAGATGATGATGATGATGAAGAAGATTATGATGAAGATGTACCTGATAGATACAGCAACTGCTTTACTCCTCAATTCCCATCTAGTATGTACTATAATCATATTATACACTTGTATGCACATGGATTCCTCTCTCTTTGTAGACTGCAGATATGTTATCATGTCATCAATTACACAAAACATTGATACTTTATTTGAAGAGATATCCAATAGGTTTGCATACTACCACTGCAGATCTATGGCTGCATGCTATGAATATTTTATCAATAGAACTCTGCTCAGTATTATTTCATCAATCCAAGTAGTTTCAAATGATACCACAGATGTTAATGGCATGTTTGATTTGTATGAAAATATCAGCATTACTTTTAATGTCAGCAAAGTAAGCTATATAGTATAATAAAAATTGATTTATTTTTGATATTAGTTCAACAATACTAACCCAATGTGTCACTATTGGAACCCATCATTGCAGTAAAGCTGAAGTTATTTAGAAACAAATCATTGCATCCTATTTTCCTAGGAACTGGTCCACTGATGGCATGACAACAACAATGCTATCCAGTTCTCAAGTATTGTGTACTAGCAACCACTTGACTAGTTTTGCTGTACTGGTTGATCACTCTGGTGTTACTAGTGAGGTGTGTATGCATGTCCAGTAATCCTGCTTATAATTATGATACTCCTAAATTATTTCTGTTATAGAATGATGATCCTTCCATTAGTCCTGCAGAGCAAATTGGTTTTCAAGTTGTTGGGTACATTGGTTGTATCATTTCAATCATTGCTTTATTGTTTGCCATTGTCCTCCTTGCTCTGCTAAGGTAAGTTAAATTGTCGGATTTCCTCACTATATCTATCTTTCTTTTGTATAGAAAGCAGCTCCAGAAAGGTCCACTGTTGTACGTGCACATTAACTTGTCACTTGCTTTACTGTTAGCATTACTGGTGTTTGTTTTTGGGATTGAATTGCCAAGATCTATACCAGTAAGCTGTTAACAATACAAATGATGCATGCTGTCTCCTGTTTTATTAGTGGCTGTGTTCAGTTTTGGCTGGATCACTGCACTATTTGTTCCTGTGTGTATTCTGTTGGTCATTAGCTGAAGGGATTATGCTGTATATATTGATAGTAAGAGTGTATGGATCACTAGCTGACAGATGGTATCTATTACTACCTCTTGGATGGGGTAAGCTATACACTTAAACCCAGAGGTGTACAATTTATAATTTTATAGGTCTACCTATTATCATTGTTGGTATATCTACTGGAATAAAGCATGATCTTTATGGTACTAATGATTAGTGAGTCTTTTGAATGATTGCAATAATAATAATGATAATTTTATTTAGTTGTTGGCTATCAACCAGTAAAGGAATGATATGGTCATTCATTGGACCAATGCTGTTCATCATAATAGTTAGCAGTTACAATTTCTCTTCATCATACATGTACCTATGCATTTTAGATTAACATTATTCTCCTTGCAATGACCATCTATCAGATAATGCATTCAAAATCTTTTAAAGCTGCAACAGGAGCTGATCCTAACCTAAAGAAAATTGATTTAGTCAAGTAAGTGAGTTTTTTAGTGACAATTGTTATTATTATTTCTAAAAGAACTGGTCTGAAAGGCGTCCTGGTATTATCACCATTGCTAGGCATAACGTGGGTCATTGGGATATTTGCTTTCAGTCAACAAACTACAATTTTCCTTTGGCTTTTCACAATATTGAATTCATTACAAGTTAGTATTAAATTTATACATTTTGTTATTCTTTTACGATAGGGATTAACCATCTTGTACATGCATGTTTTAAGAAATAAATTTGTAAGTATAGCATAAGAAGTTGATATTAAAATAAATTGTTTAATTTCCATTTGTATAATAAGATAAGTGATTGGGTGAAGAAGAAACTGTCCCACTGCTTAAGAAGAACAAAGGAGAAGTCTCTCTCTAGCAATTCAACTAATGAAGTAAGTGTTGTATTTTAACATTGATGTATTGAGTATGTTTTATAGACATTTATGAAGAATTCAAGCATTGAGTCTAAAGCTTAAAAAATGAACTTAATTTGCTTGTGTAAAATAGTTGGCTGTCACTATATTCATCATGTTCCTACATACAGAGCTTCATCTGACATTCATACGATTTTTATTGTTTTATATTATTTTTTTACATCAAAAAAAACACGCAAGACAAAAATTTAGACACAATCATATTTTGTTTTTTACAGCAAAGCATACGAAATCACACTTTATAAATTGTCTCACTCAATCAGAAAAACTTGTACAAAAAACTGGGTAGTCCGTAAACCTACAATAAAAATATCATGTAAAAAAATTCACTTTAGCATGTACACAAGTCTCTCCCTTTGTCGCTAATATACCTTAACAGCAGCTGCTATCACAAGAACAAGTAGAATTATAAGATAAGGACGCAGACTCCATTGGCGGGATGAGGGCAGCTGGAGGAAGTTAAACTGCTTTATCTTTGACTTGTTGTGTGGTGGATAGATCACCCTATCATTAGCATAAAAATAATTAATAATAGTATTTATTAAAATGTACTTTAGTAAAAAGTCCATTTTAGTCCCAGTCCTAAGAATTGGTTTCATGTGTGAGTATGTATCAAATGTGTGCTTCCCATGGTAAGCTCCTATACCACTGTTACCGACTCCACCAAACGGCAGAGTATTAACTAAGAAAGAACAGCCACTGCTTGTGTTATAAATAAAAAGAGTCGACTTACTTCCAGCTTGGAAGAAGACGGTATTCTGAACAAGAGCACCACTACTGGTACGACTTGATATGTAATGAAACGTCTTGCTGTTTTCAGTGAAGACGTAGAAAGCTAGCGGCTTCTCCCTAAAATATAAAATAGATCAAGTGTAGCCATGTTGACTATCCAATAGCAACTGATATTACCTCTCATTAACAAACTGGATAGCTTCATCAATGCTTGATACCGTCAATATTGGAAGGAGAGGACCAAATATCTCTTCCTTCAAGAGAGGGTCATCCTCTGTGACTCCAACATACAAAGCTGGTGATATGTACCTCTGGTCCTCATCAGTGACAACCTCAGAGACACAGGTACCTTTTGTTGCTTCCATTAGACCAGTAACACGCCTGCAAGTAAGGGAAAGAGAGTTTAGGTTAAGTAATGCTCGTGTAGTTCCTTATTTTCTTGCTCATACTTGAAATGCCTTGTATTAACAATGCGACAGTAATCTGAGGATTTTGAAGGATCCTAGAAGTGAAAACAACAGAAGTAACCAGCAAAAAAACTTGAACTAATTCCAAATAAAATAAAAAGACTGCAACTGTGTGGAAAGTTACGAGTTGATTCTAATTTCTAATAGCAAATGTGCAAGCTGTGGGCATTTGAATAATATGCTCAAGACAAAGGATGGGTGTTTAAAAAATGGAATCTCTACCTTTCCAAAGAACTGCTCTGCTGCTTTTTTGCAGCTGTCAACAAATCGATCACGAACACTCTCAGAGCACATCACATAGTCTGGGGCAATGCAAGTCTGACCGGCATTGGCTAGTTTCCCCCACATGATCCTTCGGGCGGCTACATCAATGTTAGCATCATCAGCAACTATTACAGGACTGGAGAGATTTTTTAAAGTATGATACATTTTCTATCATACCTTTTCCCTCCAAGTTCTAACGTTACAGGTGTCAAATGTTCCGCAGCTGCTTTCATTACAATCTTGCCAACGTGAGTACTTCCTGTATAGAATATGTGATCAAATCTCTCCTTTAAGAGGCACTGGGCTACGTCAGCTCCTCCGGTAACAACTGCATAAAAATCCTAAAAATAAAACAAATAATTATAAAGACAATTTGATATCTTTTGTGACTTACATTGTCCAGGTACTTAGGAATAAGGTCGTACACTAGATTGGAAGTGTTTATGGACAGCTCTGACGGTTTTATAATGATAGCATTCCCTGATGATAAAAATGATGATATAAATCAAGGTATAACAGAGCTCATATGGTAGATCAAATTTAAGAGCAACTTTAAAAATTTGAAAAAAATCTAATTCTAGTCAAGATCAGCTCAAAATTAAAACACAAACTACAAACATGTAAATGAATCAGAAAATATTATAAAAATGGAAAATTCTCTACTTTTCATTTTTGACAAAATTTTGCTAAAATCCCTGTACTATAGTACAGGGACTTTAGCCCGATTTTGGAGCAACTTAAAAAATTCGTAAAAAGTCCAAATTTGATCGGAATCAGCTCAAACTTTATACACAACATAAGCACATGCATATGTATCAGAAAAAATTATAAAAATAAAAAATTCTCTCGGAGTCATTTTTGACTAATAATGTACTTATATTGGCTATACACATAATTACACTCCGACTACAAAAAAGTATAACCCAAACAGCTGCTCTTTCTTTCCTTACCAGCTGCAATAGCTCCAACTAGAGGAAGCGTAACCAATTGGAACGGATAATTCCAAGCCCCAATGATGAGCCCAACTCCGTGAGGCTCTGGCTTCATGTAGCAATCGTCCATCATGTTAGCCACGCCCTTAGCAACATATTGGGGGGCAGTCCACTTGTAGAAGTCTCTTATAGCTTCAATGATATCGGCACGGACTACGTTTAATTCCAACCCGATTGACTCAACTTCACTCTATTAAGGGACGATATTATTATTATTATTTATTATATATAATTAATTAATTTTAATTAACACACATGCTGATGTGTATAAACTCTTACTTTGTTTAGGTCAGCCTTCAATGCAGCTGTTATTTGATCCATGTTCTCATCAAAAAGTCTCTTGAGAGCCTTGAGCTGAGAGAGTGCATGCTGCTTCTGCTCAAAATCGCTCCAACTCTGCCTCTTTTTAAATCCGGCGCGAATCTTATCCAGAACCTGGAGGGCAGGTGAAATAGTCTACACAAAAGATAGTGTGGGCTTTACCTGAGGGATATCACCCACTGAAGTCTCAATTAATACAGCTTCACTCATCATAAAACTTATAAAAGAGGTGGAAAGATGACGACTCAAGCAAAATAATATTTAATTAACTGGATAGGGGTGTGGTCTTGATTCTTATTAAAATTCCGCAGACAATCACCCGGGCCGGCTTTAATTGAAAGTGGGTGTGGTTGACATGGATCACGTGATCCCGTGTTTGGCGGGAAATCGTTAAACCGCCTAAAGGGAGAGAAAGAAGGACAACAGAGTCTAATTTCCAAGGAGATAAAGAGAAGACGCACAAAGCCAGCACCTGTTTTATTCAAAATTCTCGTCGCTTGGTTATTCCTCTTCGTCGTTATTTCAAGGATCTTCTCGAGTGAATGCGATTCTTTTGTGAGTTTTTGTCTCTTAAAATTACAAAATGGTGTGAATTTGTTTATATATCCCGCTTTCCTTTGGCTAATAATAGCGATACTAGCTACCAGCCGCCATTAATTCTTCGTTTGCATAAGGACATGCGTTTGCATGTACGATACATGTATTAATTGTTTACATGTACATGAATGTAGCAATTCTGCAGGAACTGTAGTGATGGGAATTAAATTCATTTGATCTTTATTTTGGATGGTTTAATTACTAGTGCCTCTTTTGCTCCTGAATGAATCCTCCAATTATTGTCTGCCCTGTATATATGTTGTTTGGTTTTGTTTTAGTGTAAATTGTCTCACCTCTGAACTGTAATAATGTACTCTATCTCTCTCCTCTCTCTTGCTCTCCCCCCCCCTCTCTCTCTCTTTCAAGCTCTTTCTTTCCTATATTCCATAATAATTGAATTTTATCTTGTTTTTTTTCGTGGTCAATATAAGCCTCTTGCACATCGCATAAACACATCATACATCCATCAATTATAACAATTTACATTTTGTTGAGTTTACATGTATAAATAAGTGTTGCTGTATGTCCTGCATGTGTTACCTTGTTTGTATGGGATGGATTTCATTTCACTTCATACAGACACGCACTCACTCATACCCTTGCCTATACTTATAATCCTTCTCCTCTTTCCATCAATGAATCTCATTTTTAACCCTCGTAGGAATTAACCACACCCATTCCATCATGAACACCTACTCCACTACTCCCAATCGGAACACAGCCACTCTCATCTCCTCTTCTCCTCGCCACAATCCCATTAAACACTCACCACCATACGCTCCCTTGCTACAACACATGGCTCCCTCCACATTCTCTTTCATGCCTTCTAACAATACTCCTTCCTCACATATAAAACAGTCGCCACCATATTCCTCAAAGATTCCCTCTACTAATAATCTCAAGCAGTCTCCTCCATACACTTCCAAGACTCATAATGATAGCACTTCATCTTCAGACGCCAGCCCTGGTGGCAATAGGTCTCGCTCTTTCTCCATCACTGATATATTAGCAGATAATAATACGACCTCGTCAGTCTCTCGTAAAAGAACAAGTCCTAGCGAGTCTTCCGTTAGCAGTCAAGAGAAGACGCCGCGTGTTGTTGCTAGTGAAGGAGGGCTCTTGTCTCCTACTTCTACCGCTACTCCTGTTACAACTGGAGGAGAGCAACAGCAGCAGAGTCTACTATCACTGATGCAGGCTAGTGGAGTGGTAATGTCTCCTATTAATGCTTGTCTTCCTGTGTCTCCTGCTTTATGTCAGTCAACAACTGGTCCTTATCAGAATCAAGTAGCAGGTCAGTACATCCCCCCCCTCTCTCTCCCTCCCTCTCTCCCTCTCATGTTGTATCCCATTATTGTCTGGTAGCTGGTACATGTATGTTATTTTTAATTGCACTCCACACTTCATTTTCTCTAATGTGGATTAGTGGTCTTTGCTAATGGATCCCTAAACCACGGTTTCATTATACTGCCTAGTTACAAACCCTCTAATTGATGCAGGCCATGTAGATCAGTGTTTGTCAGGGCTAGTGGTACGACACTATGTATAGCTTCCTTGTACTTGTAAACTAATGGTATATACATGTACTTGTATGCTTAATTCATTTTACCAGCGAGGCAGCTGCTGAAGTGTTTTTCTTAATAATATTGATTAGCCACTACAGGTATAATAATACTATACTCATAAGTCCATTATCATTCTCATATCCTCTCTGTACTACAACTGTTAATAGTATATGTGAGCCATTGTTACCCAGATATACTGCCCTGTGGCTATTTGTGGGTATACTGATAATGCCTTTGAACACAGGAAGGCTGGGACTCACTGATTACTTATTACATGTATGTATGTTCATGCTGCTAGTACATGTACTCCACTTTCCAGTATATTATAATTTTAGAAGGTGTATTCACTCCACTATACTGTATAGTACAATGAATGGGATGGGTCCTGATTTTAAAGGCATGTACATGTCCCTGCCTTTAGTGTGTGGTGTTCTCTTCTTGTGGCTGTATTGATAACATTCTAAGCTCCTCATAATGCTTGGGGGATGTCTGGATCCTGCCCTAAGGCTGGGGGATCTCTTATCTCTTTGGTTAGTTTTAGTTTAGTGGTAGATATGGAAGCTTAGCTCATATTCTCTCACTCTCATCAGCAGCACACTTATAAGTGAATGGGTAACCTTTAACATGTCCTGTTACATCCAGTTTAGCACTTGAGAACAATCAACAAAGATCATATTGTGCAACAGCTTCCATTAATCTACTCCTAGCCTGTGTCCTTAAATATATACACACTGCAGTTGCTAATCCTCTCCTCCTTGTTGTTGGCCTTACAAATGCATCTTAACCAAAAGTTATCTACCCTTGAAGGAGAGGTGTAGTTTAGCTACACTAGACTGAGCAGAGCTATCCTGTACACTTTATACAGTAGAATGCATCCAGCTCAGTAGTCTTGTATGGTAGCCACATGTTAGTTTAGGTGTGTTTCACTACAATGGTCATGGTCCTCCTTCCCCTCCTACTGTACTAGTCCCTCTTAAGCTGATTAAACAATAATACTACTAGAAATTACTGGAGGGTTCATTTTAACTGCCTAAGTATATTTGTAATGCATATACCGTCTGTATTTATAAAGAGAAAGATATACAGTTTATTGTTGATTTTTTTGGTTTTGATTTTCACTATAATGCTATTGTGTACTATTGTCCCTATGAATACTGCATAATGGTAATGTCTTAAAAATACTTGTGGGTAAAAGAAGGAAGAGAGAGAGAGGATGTCAGATAAGAGGAACACAAGCCTACTGAAGGTTGAGTCTCTCCTTATCAGTCTCTCTCTCTTAATCAGCTGATCCACTTGGTACACATGTTGTTATTAGCAACCACTAAACCAGCTGTTTCAACCACTCTCTCCTCCTACAGCTGTCTCTAACCTACACTAATACTGAACACAACTCTTACCTCTTTGATAAGATAACCCTCAACCTTATACTAGCTCCTCTTTTTTAAATTTTGAATCCCTGCTACTGTCCCTTCTCATAGTCCCCTGTCTCATAACAACACCTGCATTCAACCTCAACTGAAATTAGTATCCACCACATTGCCATTCAAGTGTCTGGGTGTAGGCCTTTGGTCCTTTAAAATTTGAATCCTTTCTACTGTTGGGTAACTCTCCCCTCACTCCACACCTGCTGACATAACCTCAACTAAAAGGAACTCTCTGTGTGTGTAGTACTGAGAAAAGAAGAAGGGGTTGTTTTCCTTTCTTAATTAATCCCTTTAACATTATGAATCTTATTACTAAGTACATACACAGTTGGACACTACTGAAATGTACTGTATAAGTTCATTGGTGACACTGTGTAGCTGTACTGCTCTAGGTGATCATTATATTTATTTTAAGCCTCCCATTATGAGCCTCTGTATGTCCATATACACTTAATATGTTCTCTTCTGAGTGTTAAATGACAGTGCTATAGATAATAATGTTGCACCTCTTAAAATTACATTTACAAATGAAATATTACCCATTATTGATAAGGGCCCTATAGTTCATAATGTTGTTATTATTATACCACCCCACACTGTAAGATGATATTACATATAATGAGTCTCTACTATTATATCCTTCCCCTTAGGCTATTTCCATCCTTTATCAATGCTGGCCTCAACACATGCTCCACCTTCAGCTCAGTCCTTCTTCCCGACGACACTATCAGGTGTTTCACAGCAGATGAGGGGAGGGGCCCAGCAGACTGGAGGGCTCTACTCTGTATTACCTAATCAATTACAGGAGAACATGGCGGACATGAAGCTTGCCTCGTCACAACTGGATGGTAAGAAAAGAAGCAATTGATAAATATCTATGTGTAATACAAGCTCTTTGTGTACATTGCAGAAATAACTTTTATTATTGTCTTAAAGCTTGTATTGTGTACTGAATTATTATTGATTGCTATACATAATCTTACAACGTATTATTGATCATAATTATACACTTGTGTATTTGTTCTTATACTAATAGATAGTGGGACAGCTGATAGTATTCATGATGCTAGCAATGGATCCATTGATGAAGAGTGAGTCCATTTGTACACACACACACACACACACACGCATGTACTACTGTATTTAAATTTAGCTTGAGATCTAATTTTTTTAAATTTGCAAATGTATTTTTAAAACCACCAATAATGAAATTCATGCACAACCAAGCCCCACAGTATAATAACTGGAAAAACCGCAAGAATTTAATCTGAACATTTATAAAAGGATGTATAGCACAAAAGTATTATTATTTTTTTTATTGTAGGTCGACTGCTAATGTTAATGGTCGCAATGGAAACAGGAGTGCATTAAGGAAACTGGTACAAAATCTCTCTCTCTCTCATTTTAATATCATTATTCATTTTCTCTTTTTTAATAATTATTTCTCCTCTTAGGACATTAATGAACACGCCCCCAACACTAATAATACTAATAGTAATGTGTCCACAACTCCAGTAAACACTACTCCAAAGTCTTCAGTACGTTACAATCAACATCAACAGCCTTCACACACTGCCCCTCCCCCATACCTACCTAACTACATCTCATGGAGCCCTCTACAGCTACCTAACCCTGCTGCAACATTCTCCCCCTCGATATTCCTAACGTGTCCCTCTGGTCCTCTCCCTCCCTCGTCTGTGGTCCACCCGGTCCCACGCTCCAGTCCTCAAGACCTTTCCAGTCCAGACGAGAAGATAGGCGGAGTAGTGGGAGGGGCTAATTCGTTTATGACGTCTACTCCGATAAGACGTGGGGATAGGATCCAGTTGGTGTCACCGTCACGAGTTCATTCTCCGATAGCTAACGGTAGTGGGAGTAAGAGGGGGAGTAGGATTCAACAACAACAAGTGGAACAAAATACGTCATCAAATGAGGTATGTGTACATGTACATGTACTGTACCGTAATTATGAGAATGTACACGTATGTTATTGTTATTTTAGATTTACTTAGTTGTTATAGTATTCAAAAAGACATCTGGTTCTGTATTCTTTTTGAATTGTATGGTATAACTACATATACATATGAGCCTATTTTAATAGTGAGATAGAGTAGATTAGTTTGAAATTTTAAATTTAAATTTTGAACTTATCTTTTTTTTGTTATTGCTACAGCATAACTCAAGTGCCAGTGACTCTGAGATGCCACTCCTCCATCGTCCTCGTGTCCCAAGGCGACGCCCACCAAAAGCTCGGACGTCCCTCAACCCTCTACTAGAGAACACTAATCCTTCACCATCAGCTACCTCTCCCCCCACCCGTCCCTCTCTCCCCCCTCCCTCTGCTCCCCCCAGTTCACTACTAACTAGTTACAAGCTCTCTTCACAGCAGTATCCTTCATTTAGTGACAGTGGGATAGTTCCTGACTCTTCTTCCAGTATGTTGTATCGTTCTTCTTACGGGCCACTCATGTCACCTGTGGGACATTACCAGCACCAGCAGAAGACCCCCGTCAAAGGAAGGCTGGATAGAGGGGGAGGGGGTGGGGCTGCTTATGGGAGAATATTGTGTGGTAGCTCACCAGTTACCGATCACCTTAACAAGACTGGGCAGATACAGAGTGTGCCCCCTTGGTTTATATGCTCTGATAAGAAATCTGATGGAAAGGTGGGCTCATCTCCATTTATTTATTTATTTATTTGTTTATTTATTATCAGAGGTTGAGACTGACTGAAGCTATCAACAAGTCATTATCAGAATCTGTGACACAAAAACATCATCAGGTATGTGTACATATACACATGTACATGGGGAATATTATTAACTGTGTATTTGCATGTACAGTATTAAGTATAATTATAAATTAAAGGTCACCTTTTTATCGGTAACTTTATTTAGCTGCCCGCTGAATGGCAGAAACTAGCTTACGGGCAGACCGAAGATCAGAAAAGTTTGACAAGAAAAGCACGCAATTTTTTAAAAGGAAGACCAAGAGTGTTGAAATTCGATGGAACTGGGAGCGGCAGTAGCAGCAGCAGCTGCAATAACAAGAAGAAAGTTAGTCAGTAGTGCTTTGGGATTTTAAACTGAAACTTAAAGCTAGTATTTATTATGAACTCATTTTTAACCTATATCAATAAAATATTATTAATATTAATATTATTATTATTATTATTATTATCTACTAATCATAATTAAGATTTATTTCTTTATTATTATTATTGTTATTTTATTCTTATTAATATTAATATTATTATTATTATATTATGTTATTTTTGTGTGCCCTTTAACTTATAATAAATACAGTACTATTAGATTAGAATTATTGTTAACATTAAACGGAGGCGGACGTATTCTTTTAATGGTCATAACTTTAAAAATTGAAGTCGGAATCAGCCCAAACTTTTTACATAGCATAAGGACATCAATATGTATCAGAAAATGTAATAAAAATTGGGGGTGATTTCAGAGCCATTTTTCAGAAAATCCCTGGGCTATAGCCTTGGGTACTATTCAGAAATTTGGAGTTTTTAAAAATGGCCATAACTCAAAAAACTGAAGTCGGAATTGCTCAAACTTTCTACATAGCATAAGTACATCATTATGTATCAGAAAATGTAATAAAAATTGGGGGTGATTTCAGAGCCATTTTTTGAAAAAAACCATTGAGAAAATGCACTTGTAGTTTTTTACAGTGCATTTTTTCAGAAGTTGGCAATAATAAGCTCAAAAATTAATATAATGACATCATATGCCTTCATTATGATGATGTCACCAATAACAACATTCTATAAAACTTGCCACACACAAAACATACTTAACATTTTCTTCCTCTGCTGTTTTTCCTGATGGCAGCCACTACTTCAGTTATAATCCCTCCTCCTCTTCTTTCTTTACTACTGCTCTTACTGGTTAATCAGTCTCAGCTCTCAATAGCTTCTCGTTTGCCTCCTTGTACTACATTCAGAAATACCTGTAGTAAGGTATTCCAGTTAGATCTGTCTGCTATTAATTCAACTGATGAAGCAGTCAGTTTCTCAATTTCATCATCATCACTGGCCCTTCTCAACATAAGCTACATTGTTAACACCAGTAGAGGAGATTGCTTAACTAGAAGTGGAGAGTGTCAAAATGTGTCTGAGCAATACTACAGCAATGGAGTCTCCTCTTCACAGGAGCAAGAGGTCACCAATGTGTATTATATATCCTGCACTATAAAGGAGACTGAGCCTCTTTACTCTGTTATTTCTGTAAAGCTTGACTTTGGGAATTGTTCTTATACTTTTGGACTGCTGCAAGATGGAGGAGGTGAGATGCTATGTGTTTATTGTCTTGGATGAGTTGTAAATTAAAATCCACACACTTCACGGCTTTCCTAGTTGATTGTATACACATGGGCCAAGGGTTAGTGAAACGCTACATGATTGTGAATTTAATTTTCAATTTAAATGCAATCTATCCTTGTGAGAATTAGACTATATGTGATTAAAATGATATTAATTTTCTTATTGGGTGTTACTGTTTACTACTGATAGTTCAGCTTGTCTAAATGGTCATTAATATTCCTGATTTGTTACCAAATGACATTTAATAGCTGCACTGCATGTCATGTGCATGTATGCAGCCAGGTGTTTTGGCTGATCTCTGTAGTAATTCTAATAATTTTGCTTTGGCTGTTAACAAAAATAATTGTCATTGTTCATACTGGGCATTACTGTTTCTTACTCTCCCCCATCTCTTGCTCTCTATCAACTTATCTATCTTCTCTTTCGCTCTCTCTCTCTCTCTCTCTCTCTTCCACAGATGGTGGTAATCTTTGTCCTGCTGATTATGACAATGGTCTATTATGGCAGCAATCATGGCCATCACTATTACCTGTCTTCAAGTCATGTAATGATATATCTGAACGGTTTTCCAGCAACAGTTATGCATACAGAAATTGCACATCAAATGGTATCTGGACCAGCACTGATATCAGTCACTGTAGGCTCAAGCCTTCATATGCTCAAAATGCTTTCTTTAACATCTGGTACAAATTTAATCCCAAGGAGCCTTTTAATAAAGAAAACTATTTGATAAGTAATGTAAGTTATTATTATTACTATTATTTATTGTTGTTATTATTGTTGTTGTTGTTGTTGTTTTTGTAGATGACTATTCACCTTAGATCAGTTGATTACTCTAATATTTCTCTACAATACGTGACACGTAATGGTCTTCTCCTAAGAGCTGGTTTTACAGTAATACTTGAATCCAATCTCAGCTCACCAGGAGAGAGGGCTGATATCACAATGTTAGTGCAAAACCTAAAAGAACTCAAAATTTTATCAATATATGAAACTAATACAACTCAAGCACAAATATTTCGACCAAACAGTAAGTACATGTGCAATAACGTGCATACGTTTTCATTTACTTGTACACTCTAGCTTCATGTTTATGTGACATGGAGTATCGCAACTCTCTTACTCTTCCTGTCTGTGTTGGAGACTTTGGTTCACCATGTAACTGCAGTAATGGCAATTGTAAAGTATGTTTAATAAGAGGAGGGAGGGGGGGGGCAGAGCAGGGGATGTGGATTTTGTTGGGACAAAGTCAGCTTTCTAAAGTGTATCATTACTAAAAGTACTAGTAACAGTTTATTTAATGCTACGTGCTTATTAACTACCTGGACCTGTTTGTGTACATTTTTAAAAACAAGAAACATGAGAAGTTGTTGTTTACTTTTCCCATCTCTTCGTGTATGCTAGTATTAACAGACTTGTACATGTACGTGTGTGTGTAAGGTCTTAAAACATACAATGATTATTATCTTTGTCTTATAGTGTTCTTCCCCTCGTTATGTTGGTGATGGATATTATTGTACTGTTGATTCAGATCGTGATGGTTTTCCAGATGTGCCCCTAGATTCATGCATTGAAAATACCAGCAAGTACTGCCGAAAAGTAAACACATTTATAATGTACTACTGCTGACTTCCTTTATTTGATGCTGTGTGTATATATGAAGTACTAGTAATAGCAATGTAGGCTTTTGCTTATTTATGTGTACTTGTTGTTAATGAGAAACGTGCACTGGCATGGAAGGAAAATGAAATGTTGGGAGACTGAATTTATCATTTAGTCTGTACTGATTATCATTATCATCGTTTGCTTATTATTTTGTAGGATAACTGTCCTTATATTCATAATCCTTCACAAACTAACTATTCATGCTTTGGTAAGACCACAGCATCATTGATTATATCCTATATTGATAATTGTATTTGCAGGTTGTGCAGCTGAGAGAGACAGAATATGGAACCTGACATGGCCGGACACTCAATTTGGAAAGACTGCTCTACAAAAGTGCCCTAATTCCACCACAGGCGGTATTTTTTTTGCTTCAAGAAAATGTAATGCTTCTCTTGGTTGGTTGTGGCCTCGCACTTCAAACTGTAGTCTAAGCAACTGGTTCTACTTTAAGTTATTCAATGATGTAAGTATACCAATATAATCCATGTGTATAGTAGATCTACATGTAGCATGTATGATACTGTTACGAATGAAGAATTGTTCTCAATTTTTCAAATGCATCAATTACATATACCATGATGAGTTATTTACTTCATTCTCTCTCTCTCTCATAGACTAACTACGCTGTTAATCATAACCTTACTGATGAAGAGAGGGTTGCTGAGCTCAATTATCTTTATGGAGAATTGATAGACAGTTATTCTGCACCTCCTTCAGGCTCCAATGGTGGTCCAACTATAGGTCAACCTGATTTGAAGAAATCCCCATACAGTCTATTGCACATTAACAAGATGGTCGATTATACACTCAAACTTTTACCTAGTGCAGAATTTGATGAATACAATTCATACACTTTTATCCCTGTAAGAAGAAAATGCATTTATATTATTATTATTATTATTATTATTATTATTATTATTGTTGTTGTTGTTGTTGTTGTTTTATTATTTAGGATATGGTTGATGTTTTTGATGACCTGTTAAATGAGGATTATGCTGAAGAATGGAAGGAAGTGGAAGAGGTTTGTTATCTTTATTTATTTTTATTAATTCTCTTTTCTTCTTTTTTTCTAGACTGAAGGCCATCATTTTGGTAGCACGCTACTCCTGGAAAATGTTGAGAATTATTTTCTCTACTACACTGGTTTTGAAAAATCAGTTAGAATTAAGAGAAAAAACTTTAGTAAGGAAAACGGCAGGCCCTATAACTTAGTTTGAATTAGTTTGAGGTCTTGCTATTGATTAAAAGTGATAAACAACCTCTAAGCTACAAAATACATAATATATCTGTAAACAGGATAATGATGTGTTTGAAATAATGATTTGAATGATTTCATGTTTCATAATAAACATGACACTATTATCATCATTTGTGGTCAAACATGGTAATACAATCTGTGTAATTACAATACCTCACAGTGACTTGAAGAGTATCAATCATTGTTTTCTTTTTCTCTGTGTCACTAGACATCATGTCTGATGTGTATAACCTTTCATCACAAGTTGCTGAAGGTGACTACGTCATCAACAGTAACTTGAGTGACTCTTACATTACTCTGCATATACCGGAAGGACTCTTGAGAGAGAAAACAGCTAATGGTGAGAACTGATTGTTGTTCATAGTTGATCCCTTCTTCCATTTAAGGTATTGAACCAGTCTCCATTATAAGTATCCAGTTTCGTAGTTTAGATGACTTTCTTTCGTCAGACGGCAACAAGTACAATTATTATTTTTAATATCATTTTATAATTATTTATTGTTATTTCAATAATAATTATTATTGTCTTTATTAGTACAAACGATACAAAGATATCATCTAATGTCTGGTCTGGTCAGATTGGAAGAGAAGGCACTGTCTTCAGTGAGCCAATACTCATCAGTTTTACTGCAGAGAAAGTAAGTACAGTATCCCCTTCCTTTATTTTATGATCTGTTATGCATCAGATCGATAATGAGACTCACAACTACGTATGCTCCTACTGGAACACCACGTGAGGCTATGAAACATAATTACACATTTCATGCAAATAAGTATCATTATGTCCTGCCAATTTATATTAACTGAACTATTATTAAATTAATGTAAAAAATGTGTACATTTTCTACAACACAGATCTGGTCAGTGGATGACTGATGGTGTCTATACAGTTGGTTATTATGAGTGGACTGATAACAGAAGTTATGTGGTCTGCTCTTCTTATCATCTCACAGCATTTGCTGTCCTTGTTTCTGTCAATGGTAACAATGGAGGAGGATCCAATGTAAGGACATAGAATATCATACATGTACTTCTTGTTTTATATTTTATTTTAATTTGCCCTTTTTCTTTTAAAAGGAGGAAGGAGGAACTACTGATGATAGTGGTGACGATGATGATGAACATGGTAGTTCCCTCACCAGTCTAAATCACAAGGCTATGAGTATTGCTACATATGCTGGTACTGCTGCTTCTGTTCTCTGCCTTGCACTATCATTCCTCTTCTTTATAGCACAATAGTAAGTCATCAATAGTTAGCTACATGCATTTCCTTCTCACTCATTCTTCAACAGTAAAGATCTACTGGAAAAACCTCATTTATTCATACACTTGAACTTAATAATAGCACTGATGCTTGCATACTCCATATTTGGATTAGGGATTGAGCTAGCTAAGGGAAATGAGGTAGGAATATTATCCAGTTGCATTGTAGCTACAGTCTTTCAATTGGTGCTTCTTATGATGTTAATGTGTCTATAGGTTTTGTGTTCAGTTGTTGCTGGACTCCTTCACTATTTCTTCTTAGCTTCTTTCTGTTGGATGCTGTGTGAAGGGATCATGCTGTATCTCTTGTTGGTGGTAGTGTTCAGTAGACTAGCTAAGAGATGGTACTTCTTCTTTGCTATTGGATGGGGTGAGCATTCATCTCTCATATTGTATTGATTACTGATTGATCACTGATTGAATGCACTTTAATAATATTTTGATCACATTTTGATTACAAATTGATTGCAAATTGATCACAGTTTCAACACATGTTAATGACATTTTGATTGCACATTGAACACATAATTACTGCACATTTATCACGTTCTCTTTTTCTTTCATCCCAACAGTTACTCCTCTTATTCCTGTTTCTATCACTATGCCTGTTCACTATGATAAGTATACTGTTAAAGATTCCTTTGGAAATATCACACTGTATGTAATGCGGCATTCACAATAATGCTGTGTATTAATTGTGTTTTTGTGTACTGTGTTAATTGCAAGTGTTTTGTAAATGTGGATCTGGAATGAATAAACCAGATATAATGTTTTTTTTTAATTACAGAAAATTGTTGTATGATGTTAAATATTATTTGTAGTTGCTGGCTATCAGATGAAAGTGGGACTATCTGGGCCTTTGTAGCTCCTATGCTGCTTATAATAGCAGTAAGCTGCTCTTTCTCTCTCACTTATTGCTGTTGTTTGAATTATCTTTAGATCAACGTTGTATTTTTTGTTCTGATTGTACGGAGTTTGTGCAAATCAAAGAGAATGGAAAAGTCAAAGAAAATGAAAGCAACAAACCTAAGACAACAAACAGTGTAAGTATAGAGAGAGAGAGAGAGGAGGGTTATTAGGGTGAGGCATGTACATACATCCTAAACATTCTCTAATGTTAGTAAACATTGTAACATTATCTTAATCCAGGTCTTTATTGAAGAACTGTATCATCCTACTGCCACTGATGGGCTTCACTTGGCTCTTTGGTCTCCTTGCCTTTGACACTGACACTTACAGTTTGATATTTGCATGGCTCTTTAACATATTGAACAGTACACAGGTCAGCCATTACAAAAGCATAATTAATAGAGTACAATAGCAATGCCAATGTCACTTCCTGTACAGTACAATCAGCATTCTTATCCTGTTGTTTTTAATAGGGTGTAGCTATATTCTTCCTGTATGTGGTCCGTAATGATAAAGTATGGTCCAAGTTGACATTCTGCTTTAGAAAATACATATCTAAGGAGGTGGTAAGCTGATGCATTAAGAGTTAGAAGTGAATTTTGAGTTAATTCTTTATCTCTTCATGTAGTCAAGTCCCAGCAATACTATGATGAAGCCATCCCTCAAATCCACAAGGACTCTTATCAGCAATGTCAGTCTGTCACAGGCTAACAGTAAGTCATATAAATGCTGCATACTTGAACTCAGATACCATATCACCATGATGATAGACGTTTGATGTAATAATAATTCATTGTTGGGTTGAGGTCATCAGTGATACAGGAAGTGCTAATTGTAATGTATTATAAGAGGTGACTAGACAGGATGGTATTTAATGGTGTTAATTGAGCTGATTCTAGTTATGATAACTCTGCCAATTATAGCTTGTAGTGTCTTCTCTTCTCTTGGCTCAGCCCCTGAGGGTGTCTAACTGCATGTCTATGAAAATAAAATATTCTTACTTTATATGCTGCAAACTGAACAACATAAGCAATAAATTAAAAGTGTTTATCTAATAACAAATTCTTTGTTCTTTTGGTAGCATTTGGTGAAAATTCCAGCCAAGATGGGAATTCTTCCACCTCAGATCCACCTGCTGATAATGCATTGTTCACTCTCTCTGAGACAGACCTAACAGCAACCCACAAAATAGAAGATACAAAGGATAACGTCTCCACTGCTTCAATAAAGATTGATTTTGACTGAAATATACATATATAATATATATGACCATTCATTTTTATTGTGCTCTAGTTTTGTGTTGTGGAAGACTCACTTGTTCATGTTGATGGTGTTTTAGATGAACTTCATTATTTTTTTAATAAAAGAAATCTATGGCGTGGGTAGTAGATCTACATTATATAGGTGTGAACTCATTTGCAAGATATATTAAAGGAGAAGTGAAGGCTGTGGATTCTACTTCTATTTGGCCTAGCTATGTCAAACCTTTTACTTTTGTCTCTTTTAGCTCAAGGGCTGATCCTAGCTCAATTTCAATATCAAGTAGCTGCTCAGTTTTGTCCTCCAATAAATCGCTCTGGCGTTATGCAACTCTTTAGCGAGGACCCTATAGGATATATCTATGATATTTTTGAAGGGAACGAGAGCATTAAGACTCTCTGTCTCTCCCATGGGGACCAGCTAGGAGAGCTCACTTACACCACTGTAGTCGCTAGAGTCAACGTAACTGGAGATGGAAGCTTTACTCCCAACCAAACTGTCCTGGTCAGTGGACGCTGTAATCCATCGACATTGCTTTGGACTTTAAATGGTGACATCATGAACTCAGACTCGTCTGCTTTTGCCTTACAGTTGAGAGAAGATTGCTATCAGTGTGGGACTTCACCGATCTGCCAAGGTTTAGTATTATTATCTATATTGTAATTTTGTATGTCGACTTGTATGCATAATGTAGTGTAGAACATGATTGCTTGTATCTTCCTTTGTCAGTGTTAATGGTAAATTCTTGTGTTACTTTTAATCAATAAGGTTCATGACTTTATTTGTTGCTAATGCAAGGTGACAGACAGCCCTTGTAGTTGGTACATTTTAATTGGCAAAAATATTTAATTATTTTGGAAGCTATGTATGTAATATCATGATTCCTCTCTCTCTCTCACTTTAGTGTGTAATAATAGCTGTTCTGGCTTTGCTGGTTTTGAACGTTGCTTTGGTCCTAGCGATGCCGAGTGCTGTCCTTTCTATGAGAATAGCAACTGTACTACATCATGTACTACTGGAAGTCAGCCCAATGCTACCTTTTTTTGTGGTAAGCTCTAAACATGATTGCTCTATGTTACTACAGTGCATGTGTATTGAGCCTATTGGCTTCGTTTGTCAATGTTTGTTTGTGTATTGTTTACAAGGATTCCTTTAATTGGATCATCTCTTCTTATTTGGCAGAATTTGTTCCTTCTTTCATCGTGCTTGAAGCCAACCAGTTCCAGTACACGTCTTCATCCAACGACAACAACTACTACCTGTACGATGAAGTTGTAGACAATTCATTAACTGTTAGGTGCACATTTAATGGAGCCAGTAACGCTATTAGTGAGCTAAAGGCTAATTCCTTCTGGTCCTTTGATCTCCTCAATGATACAATTGACAGACAGTTGCAGGCTCAAGATTTTGGGCTTGTCATTAATACCAATACAACTCTTACTGTAGAGACATCAGTTGGTAATGTCAGTTTGGTGTTTGTTCCTGGGGATAGTCTAAAATTTGATCCTGTCTTTCCACCTGAGTTAAATGGCAGATATATCTGTGGTGTACGGAATATTTCCTTAGCTGTAACTGATGTAATACTAGCAATTACTACTGGTAAGAAAGAGATATGGAACCATTGATAGATTCTTTGTATTTTGCACTCCCTTTAGATAATCCACTTCTAGTGAACAATATTGAACCACCAGTCCAGAACCTAGCTTATCCTGCTACGACATTCAACCATTCATTTCTTGCAAAGTATAGAACATCCAGTGGTAGTGGTTCTACAATAATAATGAATGATGTATCAGTCAATAATCTCCAAGTGTATTATAATACCAACAGTGGGCCTGTCAATGGAGCCATTACTCTTATTGATAGTGTCACTCGTAATTATAGCATAACATTCCAGGACCCACTGCCTCCAGTGGTTGTGGTGTTCATAGGAACCAGTGGATTAGGTCAAAGTAGTTCGGATTCTCTTAGCATTCAAGTATATTCACATGGTAAAAGAGAGAGAGAGAAAATCAATTTAATTATCTGTCACTCTCTCTATTCTTTTTTAGGTATTGTTCTGTCTCCTTCTACAAGGCGTATAGATATCACGGAAGGCAGTACTGCAATATTGAATTGTACTTCAGTTGTGCCTTCAGTCGTCATTGAATGGGATGGGCCTAGCATGGTTGAACCTTCCTTCAACTATGTACTCACATTGAGCAATGTCAGCCTCAGTTTCACTGGCTTGTATACTTGTACTGTTACTGGCAATACTTATCCTAGTGGACTGGAGAGAGTATTCCAAGTACTAGTTGTTGTTTATAGATGTAAGTATATGCATAGAATAAGAGATGATAGAGTTTTAATACAATAGAAGTTTTTCTGATGCATATATATGTTCTTATGTTGTATAGAAAGTTTGAGCTGATTCCGATCAATATTGGTTTTTTTACAAATTATTAAAGTTGCTCCGACATTGGGCCGATAAGCTACATGTTGAAGAGACTTGTATACATTGCTACATCTTTCTTCTATTCATTTTATTGTTGTCCTTTCTTTCTTCAGCTGGGTCTGATGTCATACTCCATCGCTCCCCCTACCAACCTTTATCCAATCCAGCAATCATTAACTTTGGCTCTGAAACAATCATCACGTGTAACGGATTGAGAGGGACGTCTCTGCAATGGACCTCGGACAATTCCCAGTTTCCTTCTGATCTATCCGTGCTTCCTAATGTATCAGTTGTGTTTGTTAATGAAACTAGTACTAATAGTATCAGTCTTGCCGTCACTAGTGCTGCATTTACTAGTACACCAATCAACTTCACATGTTATTCATCTCTTGGCAGTGCATCAATAATTATCACAAGTGAGTGTTATATTACAATGCATAGTGATTGATAATTCAATTATTATTACTATAACGAGTGTAAATTACATTTGCATTCATTGCCTATCAGCAGAAATATACGACAGTATTTTGCTAGTACTGTTTGTTAGTGTGTATTTATTTAATATTCCATATTATCATTGTGGTTAACCTTTATAGATACACCTTACATTAAACGATTGACTGATCTTCAGTTTCCTCTTACTGTTGGTCAAAAAATCACCATGCAGTATCTGTCTGCTCTTTCCTCAAATGGACTGAGTAATGATGCAGATCCTGATGCAGAATTCTTCTCGTTAGTATCTGACATAAGTTCTCCATCATTAATTCCAAGCAACATATTTATTTACGAAATCTCTTTTACTGCATCTTCAAAATTGAATGGTTCTACATTACGTTTTGAATATTCAGGTAATTTGAGAGAGAGAGAGTATAGAACTGTGGCGCTTTATTTTGGTTTTTTGTAGAAATTATTACAAATTCACTCACAGTAACTGTTGCTGGTAAGACAGAATTTTGCCACTATATTAATGCTTTAATCACTTCTCTCTCTTTACCTCAGTTCCATCAGTCTTGTTGGTAACAGTGCCACCATTCAATTATGTATCTGGTACTGCAGTATCTCTCCAGTGTCAGAGTAGTGGCCCAATAACTTGGATCTCAAAGTAAAACTTTGTGTATTTTACATTTCTTTGTTAACTTGTTAAATGAGCATGTAATGATGATTACAGTTACATCTTAGTAAATGTTTCTTGTATTATTTCTGTCTTTTTTCAGTACTAGTCAAACAATACTGTTACCTCCTGATTACAATCGCTCCCAGTCTGATCCAAACACTCTCACCTTCACTCCATTTATTTATAACTTCGTTACTAACTATCCTCCTCAAGACTTAAGTCTCTCCCCACTGACTCCAGTGCCAACAGAAGGAGTGGTACAACTATTGAGAGATGAGTTCTTGTGTACTGTATGTGATAATATGGATAGAAACGGATCTAACTGTCTTCCTAGTGAATACATTGATCCTAAGACTGTTGATGTACAGATACTTTATCGTGAGTTCCACTATGCATGTGAATTATGTCAATCCATAATAGCATGATTATTAGAATGTCTTGGGCTATGTATAACTCTAAAAAAACTGCTCATTTATTGCCTCAAACTTTCTACATTGCATTTTGTAGCATTTTGTAGCATTTTGTGCATTTCAATCCACAGATCCAGTCATGTTTCATTTTGGTGACATTCCTTTGTACAATAACAGCATCATCAGCTCATCCTTTGATAATGAGTCATCCATCACTCTGACCTGCTCCTCACTCAGTGGTCATTCAACTCTTAAACTCAACTCAACCAATCTTCTATTAGATCCTTATTTAAGTGCTGGTATGTATCAGGTCCCTGCTGTATATGCTTCTGGTTTATCAGCTCAAGTTGATGTGATTGATAGCTACAGTGTCAGGATTGAGTTTAGCGGTAATGTAACAACTACTGATATTTCTGGTACTTATTCTTGCTATTCGCAAGAATCTGGTACTTCAACATCCATTACTTTACATTATGGTAAGTCATTACAATCATCTACATGTAACTGTTTCTCTCTATAGCTGATAGTAATGATGATGGGGTCCTACAATCTCAGACACCTTCCACTAACGTCACACTAGTATTAGGAACAGCAGCTTTGTTGCCATTCACTGCTGGTTATAATTCAAATGGATCAGCGCAATCATCAACTGACACATACAGAGGACTCACTGTCTCTTATCCTGTGTCTTTTACAGGAGGTACTTCTCTTTTCGAGATAACTCCATACAATTATGGAGTATATATACCAGTGGTTGATGCTGATACTGCTGGTACAATAGTTATAGCGCACTGTAAGCTAAGTATAGTGTCTATGTACTCTGGTAATATTACTTTTATTTATATCTTAATAGCTCAAATATCAAGAAATGCAAGTATCAATATTAGCACAGAAGGTATATTAGCACTGTCAGCATTATTATTGATACTTTCTCCTTGTTCCTCCTCATCCTTCTCTCTTTCTCTCTCCTCCTTCTAGCTCCAACCATCACTCCACTTGTATCTTCTACATCAGTTCTTGAAGGAGGAACAGTCACTCTTACCTGTGTCCCTTCAGACAGTCGTGTTCAGCTTCGGTGGTACTTCCTAAGTAATGGCTTATTTTCAGAGCCAACCCCCCTACCACCTAGGAATGGGAATGGATTCACATATGATGACATCTCATTAAGACACAGCGTGACTATTAGTCAAGTTACAGTACTGAATGATGAGGGTACTTACATCTGTCAGGTATTTAGGAGCAGTAGTATAAGAAGCAATGTCAGTCTTAATGTTTTAGCAAGTAAGAAGATGATAATTATTATTAGCTAGAGCTGCTATTATTATTTATGATTTTTCCAATTATTAGCTTGTCCTGAGGAGGAGAATGGTGGCATAGTTTGGCCAGCTACCATTGAAGGAGAAGTTTCTAGACAACCTTGTAGTTTAGCATCTTCAAATTTCAAGTATTAAACAGTCACTGTTAATGATTGAAACCTTTAACTTCTTTTTCTTTCTCTCTTTAGTTCTCGGGTTGTGTTTGCCAGGAGATATTGTTTAGATATCTATGGGTGGTCTCCTGTCCTGTTTCATGGCTGTACTCTTGTGTCTGATGCCACTTCATTTCAGCTCATAACCATGAGGCTAACTAATGTCACTGGCATCACTGCAGTATCACAGAATGAAGCTGCAATAGTCTCTGAGGTTAGTCATTGTAATCATGGATGATGAAAAGCTTTTATAAAATATCATTTCCTTGCAGTTAAGTTCTGCTATTGCTGCTAGAAATCCACACTTTCTCTCAGTCTCTGTGACCAAGTACTATTCTTTCATCTCAAACTCTGTGATTGTAGTTGCTGATGCTTATTACAACACAACTAGTAACATAACTTATGACTCAAGCCCTGTATGTTATATGGCTACTTATTAAATTTTTATGTTCATTGCATGCATAGGTGTATAGCCTAGCATCTTTGGGTGGCTATCAGTTAGTGTTTGATGCTAGAACTGGTCCTCAATACAGAAGCTCTTATGTATTCAGGCCATCAAGTCAGTTTATGATTCATTGCAATCTATTTTTATTCTTCATTGCTTTGTACATTATCATTGCAATTTTTCACTCTCTTCTCTCTTTTTGCTCATTCTCAGGTGTCTGTGTATGCAATCATTATACCATAGTTAGCAACAATGTTCCTGCTATTCCTATAGAGGAGGATGATAATCCAGAATCAATATTTAATGCAGGCCTAATATTAATGCCTTCATTCAATGTTACTGAGTTTCAGAGAAAGTGCTACGAGACACGAGCAGAACCTTGCAACTGTACCTTCACTAGCTGCAACGTAAGTACTAACAATACACAGCATAATGCTAGTATGATATTATTTCTATCATTTTCCAGTGTATAAATCCATTTGTTGGTAATGATGTTAACTGTACAGTTGATTCTGATTCAGACGAGTATCCAAATCAAGCAATAAGTGATATTTATGCTCCAGAATGTTCAAGCAACGACTCAATTTCTATGATACCTACTTACTGCTCAAACGATACTTGTCCATACTTATACAATATAGAGCAGACTCCACCCATATGTGATACTATAAGTAAGCCCCTGTAATTTAAAAAAGCACAGCATAATACACTAAACAACTTGTTGGGGATATCTAAGAATAGAAATCTGTTCTATTTTTGGCAACAAGTTGATTACAAGATCATGTTGCCTAGTGCATGCTTAAAATTATCATTTGTAGACGATACAATTGTCGGAGGGTGCATAAAAGAAGTGGATTCTAATTGGAACATTCTGTGGCCTCCAACTAATCCAAACACCACCTCAACTCAACCTTGTCCTGGCGGCACTAATTCTTCAGGTATGATATGAATAAATGAATGAGCCTTTAATGTATATCTGATTAGGTCTGGCTACAAGGTTCTGCGATGAGAATGGTAACTGGTCTACAGTTAATGTTAGCTCGTGTAGATCACGTGCTTTTAAAGTCATCGAAGAAGATGTACGAATATTATACATTGTATACCTGTAGTGAATCTGTATAATATTGCATGTTTTATAAAAATTATATACATTCTAAAGCCTATTCGTTTTATAATCATAAATGTTGATATTTGGTGTAGGCTGCTCAATTGTTTGTGGTGGATTTTGATCAACTCACTGGAGTAGCGATTGAAAATTTAGCTAAGAGTGCTGTTGGACTTGTCAGTGAAGTGAGTACTTAAAAATTTATAAAAAATCTAATTTTGATCAGAATCAAGTCAAAATTGATATTCAACACAAGAATATGTATATGTATCAGAAAAAATTATTAAAACAGAGAATTCTCTCCTTGTCATTTTTGATGAAATTTTGCCAAAGTCCCTGTACTATAGTACAGGGATTTTGGTCCGATTTTGGAGTAACTTTTAAAAATTGTAAAAAATCTAAATGTGATGGAAGTGAGCTCAAACTTTCTAAGCAACATAAAAACATGTATATGTATCAGAAAAAATTATAAAAATTAAAAATCTCTCGGAGTCATTTTTGATGAAATACCCTGTACTATTTAGTCCATGGTCTATTTGGCCACATTTTGAAGCAACTGTAACTTTTACTATATTGCTATTATATATTATCTTTATTGTACCCCTTTAGTTGCAAGTAGCTACTGCAGCTCAAGTATCATTAAATGAATCGATACTCCCTTCAGATCTCTCTGTATCTAATGATGTACTGACCAACACTATCCTGGCACTGAACTCGAGCTTTAATGACAATAACGAGACAGCCATCAATTCTTCTGTAAGTTAACAAAAACAAAAAGATTTTTACAGAGTGATTTAGTCACCATTCCATATAACTTATTGTGTGTCTTCCACTTGTTTTAGTCTATAGCTGACACTCTTAGTGATCTTCTCAGTTTGACCAACAGGCCAGGCTGGGAGAGCTTGCAATCATCCAACCCCAGCACTGGGAGTGAGCTCCTCCTGGAGAATTCGGAGTCATATGGTCTTTATCTTGCTCAAACCACTGATACAAGTCAAATTGTATCAAGAGAAAATATCGGTGAGTTAATGTATAATAAGACACTGAATATAGGGCAGCTACAAACACACATACATGTACACTGTGTGATGTCATAAGTATATTAACTTGATCTTCTCCTTGTATGTTCTTGTGATCTCGCAATAAATTAATAATGAGATTTTAGTTAAGATAATAATAATTATTAAAAATGAATTATGAAACAGGAAATGAGCTGCTGATAATTAAAAAATATTAAAAATGAATTATGAAACAGGAAATGAGCTGCTGATAATTAAAAAATTATTAAAAATGAATTATGAAACAGGAAATGAGCAGCTGATAATTAAAAAATTATTAAAAATGAATTATGAAACAGGAAATGAGCTGCTGATAATTAAAAATTATTAAAAATGAATTATGAAACAGGAAATGAGCTGCTGCTAATTAAAAAATATTAAAAATGAATTATGAAACAGGAAATGAGCTGCTGCTAATTAAAAAATATTAAAAATGAATTATGAAACAGGAAATGAGTAGCTGATAATTAAAAAATTATTAAAAATGAATTATGAAACAGGAAATGAGCTGCTGATAATTAAAAATTATTAAAAATGAATTATGAAACAGGAAATGAGCTGCTGATAATTAAAAATTATTAAAAATGAATTATGAAACAGGAAATGAGCTGCTGCTAATTAAAAAATATTAAAAATGAATTATGAAACAGGAAATGAGCTGCTAATAATTAAAAATTATTTAAAATGAATTATGAAACAGGAAATGAGCTGCTGCTAATTAAAGAATATTAAAAATGAATTATGAAACAGGAAATGAGCTGCTGATAATTAAAAAATATTAAAAATGAATTATGAAACAGGAAATGAGCTGCTGATAATTAAAAAATTATTAAAAATGAATTATGAAACAGGAAATGAGCAGCTGATAATTAAAAAATTATTAAAAATGAATTATGAAACAGGAAATGAGCTGCTGATAATTAAAAATTATTAAAAATGAATTATGAAACAGGAAATGAGCTGCTGCTAATTAAAAAATATTAAAAATGAATTATGAAACAGGAAATGAGCTGCTGCTAATTAAAAAATATTAAAAATGAATTATGAAACAGGAAATGAGTAGCTGATAATTAAAAAATTATTAAAAATGAATTATGAAACAGGAAATGAGCTGCTGCTAATTAAAAAATATTAAAAATGAATTATGAAACAGGAAATGAGTAGCTGATAATTAAAAAATTATTAAAAATGAATTATGAAACAGGAAATGAGCTGCTGCTAATTAAAAAATATTAAAAATGAATTATGAAACAGGAAATGAGCTGCTGATAATTAAAAAATTATTAGAAATGAATTATAAAACAGGAAATGAGCAGCTGATAATTAAAAATTATTAAAAATGAATTATGAAGCAGGAAGTGAGTTGTTAACACATTATTAACACTTCAAGGTGTTAAAAATGTGTCAAAAAAATTATTAGAAATTATTATTTGTTCTTAGTTCTTACAAACTCAATAAAGACAATCTATTTCATTCTCTTGTACATTCACATACATTACAATTATTATCATTATTATTAGTTATTTTTAATTCATAATATTTCTCTTGATATAGTTATAAGAGCAGAGCAGGTCCCTATTGCTGGCAGTGCTGGTATAACGTTTCCTGATTCGTCTGATCTTGTTAACTTTACAACTTCTGTATCAATGTCACCAGCCACTATTAGCATACCTGGTGAACTCATAATGGAGAGATCTTCTGGAAGTATGTGCATGTAGTTATTGATATAAGAAAGAGAGAAAGAGGTGCACATTATTTTTAATTTTTATCTTCTTTATAGTGTCTACAGTTCCAGTGGCTAATATATTGTTTAATAATTTGCAAGATTTTCTGAATAGCACAAACCTTAGGTAGCAATACCATTATTTATTTATTTATTTATTTATTTATTTATTTATTTATTCGTTTCTTTATTGCTTTAGTTCTGATTTTGAAACTGGTACTATTATATTGTCAAGTCAGGTTGGAATGTCAAGGAGGCCAATTCCTGCTGATCCACCAGTTCAGCTCTCATTTAATATTCTCACTCCTAACTTTGCTAACCCTAGCTGTGTCTTTTGGGACTTCTCTAACCCGTAATAACAAAGCATTACTAGTAACCTCATATGCTATCTTAAACACAATAGGCTTGGTAGTGGCTCTTTCTCACCTGCTGGCATTACAACTGTTCCTAGTTCGAGTGGTAATGTCACTTGTCTCAGTTCCCATTTGACTAGTTTTGCTGTTCTAGTTCAAGCATCTTCAGAAGCTACACCAGTAAATACTTTATTCCTTTGTGCATGACATTGTGAAATAATGATCATATTACTCTTGTGATTGCATTGTTTTGTTATCCAATAGGGGCCTACAGAGGCTAAAGTGTTGTCAGTTTTATCATACATAGGAGCTTCAATATCAATTATGTGTTTGCTAGTGACCGTTGTATTCTTCCTCACTTTTGGGTTGGTTAATCATAACATATGTCCGTCCTTTTATTTTAAAAGTGTCTCTCTCTTTCACTCTCTTCCCTTCTCTTGTTTATCTAAAGGAGAAAGTTGATTGAATCCGTACACAACTTAGTTCACTTGAATCTTGCCATATCTCTTCTATTGGGATACATTGTTTTTGTTGCTGGCATAGAGACTGCCAAAAGCAATAAAGTAAAAAAAACAAAATTACTATTGCCAATTTTTATAATAATTATTTTTAAAGATTGCCTGTACATTTGTCGCTGCTGCCCTTCATTACTTTTTCTTGTCTGCGTTCTTCTGGATGCTGTGTGAAGGGATCATGCTGTATCTGATGCTTGTGGTTGTCTTTTCATCGTTAACTAAGAAATGGTGGTTCTTCCTTATATTGGGATGGGGTTAGTAGACTATACACAAATTTTAACTGTATGCATGAATTGCATGTCTCTTTGTGTCTTAGCTGTGATGGTAAATATATAAGTTGACTATTATTATTTTTATTTAATTTTGTAGTTCCTTCCCTACTGATTGTAATTGTATCAGTTGGAGTTGCTCACGATTATTATGTACACGGACAAGATTAGTAAGAACTTGAAGAGATTGAGAGACTTACGTGTGTGTGATGAATATCATATTAATTATTGACTGGTTCTTTTCTTTTCCCGTTAGTTGTTGGTTGTCTATTGAGAAGCATGTCATTTGGGCATTCATCATACCAATGTGTATTATAATAATTGTACGTTTTTAAAAGAATATTTTTATGATCAGTCTTTGCAATATCTCATTAGATTAATGCAGTGTTTTTGGTCCTTGTACTGATAAGTTTATTAAAGAATCAAGGCGCTAAAAATTCCCGGAAGCAGCTGGAGAACAAACGTGTCGACCTAGTGAAGTAAGATTGCCAGTCTTGATAGTTTTTAATTCCATTATTATTATTATTATTATTATTTTTTTATTTGGTACTATAGGACCGGATTACAAGCGTCAGTGATTCTATTACCATTGCTTGGTATTACCTGGGTGATTGGTCTATTTGCAGTCAGCAGTGACACAACTGTCTTTGCTTGGCTGTTTGTAATATTCAACTCGCTACAGGTAACAGCACATGACGTTCAGCTCCTTTAAATTACCTTTTAATTATAGGGGCTGGCAATTTTTATATTTCACGTCGTTAGGAATGAAAGGGTATGTCCACCACTCTTTGTAAATGAGTTTATCTTTCTTTTAATAGATATGGAAACACATCACCAAACAGTACAAGAAAGTATCTTTAACTAATTCTACATCAGAGGTAGAGTACTGTTTATTTTTAATGCCTAGTGTCATGGTTATTTTTGTCTGCTACAGGCTAGAAGTGTCAAAGCTAAAAAACGTCATGAAGGTGCTTTCAAATGCTTATGATATTCATTAAATTTTATTTTATTTATTAAATTCTTCTCTACCCTAGCTTATGCATCTACCAGCAGTGAGGGAAGGTTTGAATTAGCTTCAATTGTGGTAGCTGATGACGAGGAAAAGAAATTGTATGCAAGTAATGGGAAAGAGGATGAGGAGATAAAGGTCCCACTTGATGAAGAGAAGCAAGAGTTAGACTTTGAGAAGCAAGCACCTAATAATGGTGGTAAGGCAACAGAATAACAGTAATAATCACGAATTCAATTTTGTTGTTTTTGTAGGTAACTATTCATCATAAAGTAAAGTCACAAACAAACAACTAATACAGTCTGTTTCGATTTTTAAAGATATTTTTATACATCATTTGGTTTATTTTATTTTAACAATAATAAAAAAAGAGTCCAGCAATTCTCTGGTTGTGTATTTAATACACTTTTTGTAGCACAAAAGGTACTAGATGAGCTAGAGCTATAGGATCAATTGATGAATATATTTCTAATAAATCTCTACATGAACTATTTTTTATAGCATAAACAACCATTCTTTATAATGAGTCCACTTTAGAAGGTATATATGTATGCAAGTAAAAATACACAACAAAAATTAAAGGTATTGTTATTGTTTTCATTTCTTCTTAATCTCTTCCTCATCACTGGACTCATCAGTAAAGTACAAGTTCACTTCCATCATTGATGAGCCCTCATTCCCTTCAAAGTTTATTAATGCCTAGGAAAGAAATATATACATGGGAACAAACAATGCCTTTCTTCAATATAAATGTTTTATTTTCACCTCTTTAGGGCTAGTTACAGTATCATATTCGTAGTCAGCAGGTCGAGATGTGTTCCTATTAATATTATAATCAGCAATGCACATGCATTTATAAAGCAATAGGCTTACACAGACAATGTTGTTGCTTTTTTACTGAAGGTAATTGGGACATCCATAAATGTTTTTATTATCACCAATAAAGATAAAAAATTAACAAGTATTATATATATGTGTGTATTTAAGTATTATAGTAACATATATCTACCTTGCTTTCTTTTTATTTTGATTTTGAGGCGAGCTTTTTATAAATAAAAGACAAATGAATCTACAATGAGAGTTGAGTTATACTTACAGTTCTTTCATCTCATTATCTGGATCATATTCATTAATGTACATCTTGTTGTTGGTACTTTCATATTCATTTGAGTCACTATTAAAAGCATCAAAAAAGGACACACAATTTCGAAAAACTTACTTCTCTCTCTTTCTTCTCCTCCTACTCATACATAAACAGCAGAGCAACAAAAGACACAAAATCAGGCACAAGATCAAACCAAATAATCCTGCTAGAACAGATGCAGCTATTGTTCCCTCCTCCTGTTCACTTCCAGCTACAGTACTGATAGTACCTATCATAAAAGCATAATGTTTATAGAACTATATGATTCATAATCTTCTTACTAGAAATATCTTTCAGTACTATTACAGTGGTAGCATTGGGACCATACCCTGCTGCAGTTTTAGCCCTCACCTGTTATCATGATGGTACAATTATATTATTGTATATTAATAGAGCAATCAGACTTACTGAGAAATGATACACCAGTCCAGTTCTGAGGCTAGACAATTGAAGTTGTTTTCCAGGCACAC